TACAGGTATGCTTTTCTAAAATTCTTTGAGATATTCATTGAAATCACAATATTATGCCCAATAAGAATAAAGCAATTAATCCCAGTAAGTAGGGATTTACTGAAGTGATAGAACATTAACTGGCCTCTTTTGTATTTGTTTGTAGTGTAATTAAGTGAATAATAACATTGGATTATGAAAGGGACTCATTCAGACAAAAGGGGAGCACTGAAATTAATTAGCCTTAGGTGTTATCCTTAACAGACCTGCTGCCGCAATGGCTGAAAAACAGGGAAGGATCAAGACAGTTGAGAATGGGAGGATTGGAAGAAAGTGACTCTGTTTTGGGTGGTGGTTGTTTGTAGTATTTAACTAAAATTCTTGAGTGAAGTTGGCTGAACTGGACAATCCTGTGTCCCTTATCATGGTCAAGCCTGAAGTAATGGCCATTTAAAGGAAATTTTGTTCTGGACCTTTTTCTACTGAGATTTGGGAGTGTAGTGTTTTCTGAAATCCTAGAAAAAAATAGAATTCTGATCATGGGCCTTTTGGGCACCTGATCCACTGAGGGAAATAAAAACCAAAAAGGCTCACAAAGATTTTTTAGCAGATTTTCCAGTTATGCAGTTTTCTCACTCTCTTGATGAAATTTCCGTTAGCACCTGTACTCAGATAGGATTCTAACTGTTTTCCAGTTCCTATTTATACTATGCAATTAAACTGACAGAGTACACAAAGCGATGTTTAAAGCTGTCAGCAAATCATTCTGAGTCCATAAAGTCAACACTCTCCTGCCTGTATCCTGGTAGAGTTGCAGTGGGGAGGTGACTCAGCTATATACTGTTTCATTTTTGGGTTTCTCACAAGTGAAGTGAAGTGTGTGCCAATTATGTAGTCCTTCACTGGCTGTTGTTCTTGGCCACTGTCCCCCATGAAGCAAGACGAGATACCATGCCTTGGCCATTTCTCTCGGGATTGCTAGACAGACTCCAACCAACTGTGGGGTGCTGAGTACACCGCATGTTCCTCCCTGCTTAGACTCCTTGGGGCTGCATCTCTTACAGGGGATGGAGATGTCCTTCAAAAATATTGGGGATCAAAGAGTTTGCTCAAGTTAATAGATGAATATATCTTCTTGAGACTGGAGGTGGGATTTTGTCGATCTTCCTACTTCCTCCAGCTGGTTGAAGGTTTGACATCATGGTAAGCTTCTGTCTTTATCACTTGGCATTTCATGTCTGGTACAGCCACATGGCAGAAGGTGCAGGTAAACAGACCAGCTTACAAAACCCAGTGTGCCTTTCAGTGCCATCTGTGAATACTCTTTCCTTAACTTTTAATGATAGTTTTACCTCAGGAAAATGGATTTTGTTCATAAGACAGCATCTTGCAAGCCTTCCCTTCAGAGCAAAGTAAAATTTGAAATAAGCATTAAGTTTGTTTGTTTAACTTTGCACAGTGTCCCTTGACTTCGGTTAAGTCCATGCCAAAGACACTTGTTTCAGGATTAAGCTCTGTGAACTCCACCAATTGGGATTTTAGTGTATACCACCCTCAAGCTGTGTTGAAATGCAAGTTGAAAATTCTTTTGGAGTCACTCAGTGCTTGTTTTTAGTTTTTGCAGTGTGGTTGTGACCCCACAGCTCATTTGTTCCACAACAGCAATGAGGCAGAAGTGCACGGCTGCTGCCACCGGCCCCTCCTTACAGATCTCTGCTTCTCTGAAGGGTAGAAGCTGATAAAGGTTCTTATCAATGAGATGACATAGGCAAAGTGGTCATTTACTTAAATCTATGAGGTCCCTCATCCTCCTGAAAACATGACACATGAGAAAAGGAGTGGAGATTTTGTGATTCTGATACTTCTCTTTCTTTCTCTACTTATTCACATTTTAATCTGGGCTTGAAAAAAAAAAACCTCACAAATGCAAAGGAGCAGAGGGTTTCATATGCTTTTCTTCAGGCTCTGTTTGGAAGGGTTGTAAGTAGTTAAACTGGCTGGTTTTTGCTATGTAATTCCAAATTGCTTGTTAAACCCTTATTTTTCAGCTAGTGACCTTTTCATCAGTGACATCGCATGTGTAGCATTAACAAGCAATGAATAAAGACAACTTCTTTCTATTTTTAGGAGGATAAAGTTGCCAAACTTCAGATAATTTAGACATCTCATGCATTTTTCATAGAAATGATTAATAACTTTTCTTCTGCAGAACAAATTCAAAACTTCTGCTTATAAAAGTACTCTGATATGATGTGTTTACAAATCTCATGGATTCATATCAATGTCAAAAATGTTTTTTTCCAGTGATGGGTATAGGAGTTGCACCCCACAAGGCAATGAAAGAAGGATAAAACTAATGCTCTGTAAGAGAACTAGAAGCAAAGTAAAATCCCTAATGGATCTTCCAGTGAATACTCTGCCTGAATATATAATGACTTGGTCCTTAAATTAGATCATAGATGTCATTACTGGGTATAAGTATGTTTTATTGTTTGCATATTCATTCTTAAGTCTACTTTTCCTACTGATTAGTTTCACTCTTTCAAGTTATTTGGGTAAAGAATAAGCATGGCTTAGACCAGAGAATAAAGGATATGTCAGGAAAAAAGTAAGAACTGCCAAATGAGAGCAGAATGAGCACAATCCTGGCTGCTCTTAGAGTATGCTCAAAAAGGGCCTTTGTGATGGTGCCATGATTGAATATCCTCATCTCTTTTGCTGTGTCTCCAAACCTGGCAGAGGTGGCAATGTACAAAGATTGCTCATGGAAAACCAGTCTTTTGGTGGATGGGGCCTATCATTGCTCCTCTAGACCCATTACCCTCTGTCTTCAAATAAGCTGGGCTATGTCCTAAAGAAACCAGGATTTAACTATTAAGCAGATGTACAAAATCCCCTTTAATATTAAAATGAGGATGCCGAGATAGTGGGGACCTAAGTCCACACAGCTGTAGATACTGAAATGAAGAGTTCACTTATACTAGTGAGGCTAACTGTATCTAACAGACTCATTCTCTTTACCTTCAGATTCAAACGAGCTACATTTTATTAAGCTTACTGAAGTTGTGTGTTCAAGCTTCTCCTTGTGCCCATGAAGGGTTTGAGTGCTTTATTTTTTAATGAAAGATCAGATTCTGAAATCATCACAATCATCACATTTGGATAAGTCTTGGATATGTACCTGTTATGTCTCTGCTATAACATAGACCTGTAGTGAAACCTTTTGAGTTATCGTCTAGTATGAAACAGTACATATCCTAAGTTAAGTCTGTTGCAGAATTTATAAAGATCATCCAGCTGGGAACAACAGAAGGGAAACCCCTTCCTTCTTGTCTTTCACTTTCTGTTCATAACAATGTTTCTTTTTCCTTTTTTTAAAAAAAGCAAAAAAAAAATCCAACTCAATGACACAAAAACCCCAAACATGAAACCCCCCAAACCAACAGAATATTAAATCTTTTGGGGTTACCGTGGGTGCTGCTATCAGGGAGTTGCCAGGGAATGTTGTGCCATGTGTGTTATGTAGCCCTTATGGCGATGTCTATGTCTCAATCGGTTGTTTATTTAAGAGGAAAATATCTTTAGGTTTTGGTACTGTGTGCAAGTTGTCTATAAAAGCTGCTAATGAGAAGGACTCATAAATGTCCCAAAAAGGAGATAGAAACAACACTCATTTTCTTCTGCTATTTAAAGTGTTCTTGACCCTGAAGCATATTTCTCTAAGGCCAATGGAAGTAGAAAAATGTAAATATTGTACAAAAAGAGGATCAGACCCATAAACTGTCCATGCCTGCTCCTATTAGGACATTATTCAATGGAATTCATTGTAGGACGTGTTGCCCATGTGGAGTACTTGTTTAAACTTGCGAAATCCTGACCATCTGAAAGGCAGACAGAGCACTGGAAAACATGCTGCCAGACCTGGCCCAAACCCACCCAGCTAATTAGCATCAAAGCATTGTATTTGCATCATGTTTGACGACATCAGGGCTTCTTAAGCAAACCAGTGCTTAAGCTATGGAAGCAGCAAGTAAGGGTTTATTTAGAACCCTGAGTACTTGTTTAATCAACTCATTTGGGTTGCTAGTCTGTACCACTGCAAGGTCTGTTACAAGACAATCTGCTGAATGGAACAGGTATAAATCAAATTGTATGATAACAACAGCAGAGTGAAAGGGGTGCCCAGATAGACACGGGGGGATTGAAAATGAAACAAAGCTCTATCCTTTTCTTGACCTGTGCTCCGGCTAGAGGCAGCAGGAAAGTTGATCTTTTTTCCTCGCTGCTTGGCTCTAGCTTTTCTCCAGCAGGCCTGAGTGGTCCAGCAAGCCAGTCGGGATCTTTCCAGAGAGCCCTGTGTGGGGACTCCAGGCAAAAAGAGGAAATATTTGGGCTTGTAGATTCCCAACCCAGGTCAGTGTCCAGTAACAAAGATGTGTCCAAAGCCTGGTGTAGTGCTTGTGTTGTTGACTCCTGCTATAATGATGAAAATATTATAAACTATGAAATTAGCCATCCTCTCACCTGTGCATTGTATTTATGTACTACACAGAGATGTAATGTTTAAATTAATGAACAAATTACTTAAAACACAAAGCAGGATGGGAAGGATTGTCAGGAAGGAACACCATAAATTTTCAACATTACCTGTATGAGAGGGATGACAAAGTGGTTTGTGTCTCTTTGTGTAATGGGCAATTAGTGGTTTGGAATAAAATGTATAGGAGTTAATGGCATCCTTTTTGCCCTATAAAGCAAGATGGAGAGAAGCGAGATTGTGGCACGGGTGACCTTGTCTTAAATAGACTGGCACTTACTGGATACAACCAAGACATTTATGAGCCCATCTCTGACAATATGAAAGGTTTTCTTTCAGGTACACTGTTGAAAAAATTACTTAGAAAGGAATTATCACATTTGGGTTTATGTTACTGCATTTTTAATATAAATAATTTATGCTGGGGAAAAAATGTATTAGAGGCTTCTATGTAGTTTTTCTGAAGCTCTTTGTGTTTTTCCAGATTTAGTTGTAGGTGCATTTGGAGCTGGAAAAGCAGTTGTGTACAGGTACGTGGTAAATACAATGGATTTTTTATTTTACAGCTTTGGTGGGAGATCTGCAAATAAACAAATGTCACATTCTTGTGTTCCCCTGGTGCAATGTGTAAAAGATGCTCATTACATATGATAAATTAAGCATCTTGTGAGAAACAAATGCTTTTTTCCCATGCTCAAACTTGTCATTTTCAATGAAAATTCCAATGAAAATTCCCATGCTTAGTCTTATCTCAAGAAACTACTTCGTGAATGTTTGACTCCTCAGTTAATTTTAAATAAGAAATTTAAAAAGCATAACATTGAAAATAAATTTCTTTCCTGGGGGAATGGTGCTAGTTAGAAATTTTCAAGTGACTCTTCTTCAGAGGTTGTGTGCATGAAGACAGGAACTATTTATTCAAAATAGAGACCGCTGCTTTTAGCCTCAGTTTAGAAAAAATGTATGAGATCCCGTTTTACAAGTCACAACGTTGTTGCTGACAATGGATTTTCACTAAATGCACTGTTTGATGACAGGTATAAATTAAAACTACCAAATACATAAACGAAAACCTGCTGCTGCCCTCTTAGTCCAGCCATGCCAACAGTTCTTTGCATTTAAATATTCACCATCTGTTGCTGCCACAATATAGTCATATTTCTTGATTCCTGGCTGTCTTCTTCTTCTCTGTATTCCCAACAGTACCTGACTGAGAGAAGGTGTGTTCTGCTTCCCAACTGAATGTTTGTCAAAGCATAAGAATTTTGTAAAACGTGAATGTTAGCTCATTTTAGCTAATACTGTAGGTGCAGTGAGTAGACCTGATCTTCTTACTGCCCTGTAAAGAATCATGCAAATACTTTGCAGTTCATCACTTTGCAATGGCATGAATGACTACACAGGATGTGAAACATTGGAAAATTAGATCCAGTGTGTATTTTAGATAGCAATAAAAAATGTGTTCTATTTAATTTAAGAAAGTGAATAGCAGGAGGCCCTCAATCTTTCCGTTTCCTGGCCACAGTATATCAAATATGCAACTTGTCGTATTGGAGAAACAGAATTTTATTAACTCATATTTGCTAGAAAAAAGGTTTTCCCTGTTGCACAAAAATGGAGAAAGTAATTTTATTTTTAATGTCTTGCTGAAGTAATACAGAGAAGTCATCATAAAAGCTCAGCTGTGGATTAAAATATGAGGAAATTAATTTTGTAATAAGCCAGTTTACCAGAATAACACAAGTTACTGTAAAATAGTACTGCTGTCTTAAAAAAACAGAATTTAGACCCTTTCTTGTTTTCATTTGTCTTCTAAATTGCTCTCAGTTATAGATTATCTCATTTCTTAATAACAGGTTGTTATTCAGAGGGATGGTTCCCATCACCTCAACCATATATTCACATACTCAGCAGAATTTTGTGATGATCGTTCCTGGTTTCCGAAGTCAATTGTCTCAAGACATGTCAGACAGAATTTACTTTATTATTGGCTCGAGATATTCTAGATCAACTTCTACTTTAACCAAATTATGGTGGGTTTTTTTTAAAGAATCTTAAACAGAGATAGCAGGTCTGAATATGTCACTGTTAATGGAGACAGTATAAAACAAATCTGACAGCATAAAATAATGGCCAAAGGACTGCTGCAAATCCCAAAAGGCAGAGTCTGTCCCTTTGTGAAAACCCAATGAGATGAAATGTGTCTGATGATGTGCCTTAGTCTCAGGACACACCTATTGGTTAACTATAGGATACTGTTTCAGTGATGCTGTTAACCTGTGATTTTTTGTGAAGAAGTTTCAAAATGTCATAGTAGGAGGTATCACAGTTTCTGATTAAAAAAAAAGAAAAAAGTTCTTTTGGGTAGGAGCAGCATTATATAGGTGTTTTCTCACAAGTAACCCTACATTTCCAGCTTCTTTGTGGCCATCTCAAGTAAGTGTTTTCTCTGCTGCAACTTAGGTATTAATGCGCTCCTTCTTATTTCTATTCCTCAGAGCCAGACCTGTTGTGACAGTGAATGCTCAGCTCATTCTGAACCCCATGATTGTGAATCCAGACAATAAAACTTGTCAGCTCCCTGACGCTCAGCTTTTGGTGGCCTGGTAAGTTCATGATTAGACAAAAGTATCCTCATCCTCTTTCCCAAATAACTTCCTATTCCTAACTTTTCTTTCAGCTTTTTGTTGAATATGTTCAAAGTTTAAAAAAAAAAAAAAGTTCAAACATGCTATGAGCGCAACAAAAAAACCCCTACATAGAACAGAGTTCTTTTTGATATCGTCCAATACTTCACAGATTCTCAAAATGAAGTAGCTAAAAGTTGAGTCTTTTGATACACTGAGTCTCCTTCTGCATAGAAGGATGTTCATTGACTCCTAGGATCAAGCTGCAAATTCATATGCAGTGTTTGGATGAATGAAACGTGAAATAGCTAGCACAGACAAAACCCAGAAAGGTTGACCTGTCAAAACATACATCTTTGTTGAGAAAATATAACAGCAAAAGTGATGCAAAGAGCTGGTGGACCCACCATCTTTTGTTAGAGAGAGATCTCAGTCCTTTGTGGAAGAGAGAAGATATCTGGCTGGCCATCCTGAGAGCAGTTCACAGGATATTGTTTCTGGCTGCCATTGGTCAGAGGAAAGGGGTTTTTTTAGTGCATCATACAGGACAATGTGGCATATATCTTTAAATGAGAAGCCCTCTACCACAGTAGTATTTAATTTTGAAAAGAAAAAGTACATTAAAAAAACCTTGGAGCTAATTAAACAATTTAAGATCAGTTACAAATGTAAAACGCTTGCAGGACAGTTGGAGGCTATCTAACAGCACGTAGTACTGCATAAAGGCACGTTTGCTGCACTAGAAAAAAAGCCACTTAGAAAGGACCCCAGGAACAGGTGATAAAAGAGGCTATTACAAATACATAAGATACTGTTTAAAAGTGGAATTCATAACAAATGAGGAAACTGAAAACAAAACAGAGCATAAACATGTGCAAGTTGAATATAAAATACCAGTAAGTCCTGCCAGAGAGACTGTGAGCAACAGATTTCTAAGACATAAAAACAAGTCATACCATTTTATTTAAACACAGTAGAGGCAGAAAGCCTGCCAGGATGTGGGCTGGATGAAGAGAATATTAAGGTGTAAAGGGGGACTCCAGAAGATAAGGTGACTGCAGAAATGTTGCACTGCTTTTAAACCAGAGGTGCTCAGAGGGATTCCCCAGACTGGAGACATTCTTTATAGATGACGAGTTTTCAAAATCATCTCAAATGTAAGAGTCAGCGAAAGAGTTGTTAGAACAAATTGATAAATATGAACCCTAAAAAATAGTCATGACCAGAAGCAGTTCATTTAAGAGTCATAAAGGAACTCAACTCTGATACACTTAAACCACTAAATATATGGGCTTTCAGTGCATTTGATGCAATTTGTGACTCAGGAAGTTTCTAAATCTGCTGATTGTGAAAACCTGGGATGGGGCTGTCAAGAGATTTTCACTTTCGCTCTCTTCTTTTACTCTTTATGGGACTTTTCATATTTGTCCAAATGTTCATCATTTCTACATCCTGTGTAGAAAATCACCCATCTACAGAACAATGTAGAAGGCACTTGGTAGAATTATGGAGTCCCTGGGCTTTAAAAAGCTTTGGCCTTTCTGGAATAGGATCCAGATCAAGATCCATCCTGAATTTTTGATTCAAGCACCTTTTGTTTCAATAGTTGATGTAATAGAGAATTTACAATATCGACATCGAGATGAAGCATGTTCATTGTTCCAAATTATGTTCTTTCAGAACTTCAATTTTTAAGAATTTTTAAGAATGCTTTATGCCATAATGGGTAAGATTTCAAAACCATAACATTTACTGACAGTGCACTGAAAGAAAAAAGGTGGTTTTGTGCACAAGAGAAATAAATAAAAGCATCTCTGTTAAAAAAGTATTCCTGCTGTAAGATAATTTTAAAAAAAGGGGGGGGGGGGGGTGAGCAGGGAGACAAAGTATGCCCCTTTAACATGTAGTTGTTTCATTACTTTTCATTTTTATTTTACAATAAGCCAGAAGATGTTTGGTTCATATCTAGAAGAGTTTTAATAGGAGCATAATTTAATTTCTATCTGCTTTAATCTAAAATACTCTTCCCTAAGGATTTAGTTCGTATTATTGAAGAGCAGCTGCTGTTTTCCATGCCATAATTTTTCTCCTTAGTTGATACAAGCTTGTATTGTACATATGAAAACAATTAGTAGGGAAACTCCAACAGGCAAAGAATTCTTCAGTCCCATGGGACAGATTTCTGTATCTCTTAGCCAGCTGTGCAACTTGTATAAAATATCTACCGACTGACACTGCAAAATTAGAATGAAAGGAAACCTCCTACCAGAAAAGTTTCAGGAAGTGTGTGTGTGAATAATGTGGATTATTGTACATTTTCAAGTATTAGGAAAATATTATTTTTGCCATGATATAAATTGGAAAGCTGAAGCACAGAGGAAATATGCACAAAAAGTCATTTTTACGCAGTCCTAAGAGAACTGTCCTGAACTTCTAGAAACATGTAATTCTTTCTCTGCTACGTTTAAAATGTGGCTGTTTCTGAATTCCCAAAACTAACACATTTGGAACAAATTCTGCAACTTTGAGGCTATTAAAGATAATTTAGGACAAAAAGATATTTTTTTAAGGTGTGAAACATGCAGGTTAATTTCTGTGAAAAGGAGTAAATAAATCAAACATTTACATTTTTCAAAAGCTGTTTCTACATCATATGATTTATTAAGTCCGAGACTGGGTTCCAGCTATCGAGAGGTTTAATTTATCTTTGCATTGGTATTTTTATTATCATTTGAAATCTAATTATCCACTAGCTACTTTGCTGCTACTTTGTGCTTAAATTATATCTGCAAATATTATTTACTCTGCCTCTCAGTAGCTTAAGGTAGTGTGCAAATATTGTTACTTCCATTTGGCAGAGGAGCAAGAGGTCAGAGAAGTTACCTGACCTACAAAAAATTAAGTAGCACAGAAGTGTCCAATCATGATAAAAAGTCAATTTGCAGAATATATTTTTTATTTGTTAGTGCTTTTCAGGTTTGAATGTCTAATCTGAGATGTGCCTTGTGGCTTCTTAAGGGAACCCAGCTATCCACCTTCCGTAAGCCCACTAAACAAGAGGCAAACTGCCTAAAATTTCTGATCCTCAAGTTCCTACTATCAAAAATAATTTGAAAGAAATTTGTCTTTTATCTCCGTATGCATTGTTATTATTAAAACAGCAATGAAATATTTATAATCTTTAGTCAGCTAGATTCAGTAAATGAAACATTTCTACATACACTTCAAAAAGCTGAATACAAAATTCCTACCAAAAATATAAAATCCAAAAATAATAATGCTTCAACCTTTCCTAACTGCATAATTTGGGGACTGTTTTTCTTGTTTTGCTCCTGTCTACTGCTAGTATTTTCTTTTCCCATTGACTTAATTTGAAACTCGATATGATCGCTACCCCATGGCTATGGACCTAAGGGCCTTTGTACTTTATTGGGATGAATTTGTGTGAGATTTGCCACAGACTGTTGGCCAGCCTGACTCCATGAGTCAGACAGCAAACTCATATGGCCAAGAGTCAGAAGATGCATACCTCAAACCTCAGGGGCTGATGGGAGGGAGGGAAGTAGGCAAGTGGTGACAGTTGCTACCCAGGAAGCCCATTGCTGTGTTGCAGACCTCTGCTGTGCCAGGAATGCAGCTGGCTAATTTGATGGTGTTAGTTTTAGTAGCCCTAAAGACATCCAAAAGACAGTCATTTGAGTTATCTGACAGTCCTTGTGTTACCCACAGCCTGGCCATGGAGAGCCTTCGGCATTAAAGCTCCATGTTGGTCATTGTGGGTCACTGGGTTAGGCTTTGGCATAACAAAATCTAAAAGCAGGCCAAGTATTAAAGCATCATAATAGAAGCATATTGACTTGCTTTTATGTATTATTCTTCAAAGAGGAAACAATTTGTTTAAAGGTCATTCATCACTAGATGATAACAGCTTCTGCTATTCTTCTGTAGATGTCTGTGACCTTGCAGGTTGGGTATCAGCCTCACAGAGAATGGAAGTTCATAGCATCAAAGCATAAAGTGCCTTTCTACTAAGGTGTTATCCATTCTTCCTCTCCATGTGCAATCCTGTGTGCTAAAGAAATTGCCAACAATGACAAATGACATCTGGTAGGATCTGGTAATTCCTTGCTTTACACTTCCTGAAGCAAGTTTCCTATTTTTTTCGCCTACTAGAATAGCCAGACCAAAATAAATTCTTTGTGGTACAAACTGCAGTCCGGAAAACATTATTTGGGGTTAACTGACTTTTGATTTTCTAAGGATTAACCATTTTGAGTAATATTGGGTAATTTGGTTTTACTTCTGTCCTGGTTTGAGGTAAAACAGAACCAGTCTTCTAAAGAAACTACCCCCATCTATGCCATGAGTAGTTTTGAAGAAAGAGGAATATTTTTAAGCTTCTTATTCTAATAATATTAAGAATGTTTCTGTCTACCTGAAGAACATAAAATTATTTCAAACTGCTTATTTCCCCAAGATTACCAGGAAAAGCTAACGCGTTCAGTTTTAAGGCTTTCCCTCTATTTTGTAGCTGCAGTCAAATACTATTCAGACCATAAGCTTATAGTGATGACAGGCACTGCAGAATAAATGCAGTGTGGAGATCTGTTCAGAGAGGCAAGATTGATAGCACATTAAAGTTCATATGCTTTAGGATGATGGACTGTTTCCCAGGTGTTTCTTGTCTGCTGAAGTTTTCTTCCTTGGATTGTTAATTGTCTTATTTGGTTGCAACAAGCTCGAAAGCTCAGCTGTTGTATTTCTTACTGTCCCTAGGAGACAGATCTTAAACCTCATCAATCCTTTAGACTCCTGTCCTCTTTTGTGGTCTACCTTCTCCTCTGTTCTTTTTCTCACAGCTAAAGCATCCCACAGCATCTTCTTGTCAAAGTGATGAGCATATCTCAATTTGTCTGGGTTTGTGGTCAAAAACTATTGCCTTTAGAACTATTTCTGAACTAAATATCCATAAAATCACAAATGGGTGGCAGAATTCTGCTAAACCCAGAGTCTTGCCTCTTGCATGGCCAGACACTGGGAGACTAATAAGCTCCAAATTTTGCTCTTTTGCACTGCCATTCCCTTTTTGACATTCTCTGTGTGGAGCGGAAGGGTTAAATCTTGGCTCTTACAGTAATACTTAAGAACATTACTTTGATTCTCAAATGTGTATGATGAATTATTCTATTCATGACAGTAAATTAAACATACACTGAAATTGAACTGCTGTTGAACAAGTAAAGCATTTCAAGCTGGATTTTTAACTCAACCTTTTTTTAAACATGACAGTGCAAAAATTACGTGAGACCTCCAAAGCAAGATCACCAAGTTTAATACGTGATGGCAGTTTGTGAGTTTACATTTGAGAAAATACTCTCTTATGCTATGACATGTGAGACTGGCTTGTGAAGCCTGATGTCTAAATTGCATTTATGCAATTACACAAGTTTTCTCATTTTTGTTGTTCTTGTCCTTGTGTATTAGTAAGTAATCGGTTCTTCATCTGTTACCTCATAATTGTAAAGAAGTAGGAATATGACTGAATTTGCAATTTCTGCATAGAACGTGAGTCAACACTTGTAATGTCATTTGAAGGCTACAGTTAAATGGAGTTTAATGGCAAAAGGCAATTTTTTTACCCAAGAGGAAAGTGTTGAGTAAGGTCATGAGAGTTACATGAATCCCAGATGTGGCACAGTTTCATTACATTTGTCAGAGGAAGAAAAAGCACAATTAGAATATGATTACAGGGTATTTTAAAGGTTATGTTACTGGATTTGAATCCACTGCATGGAGAAGTTAGTATGTAATATAACAGTAGTGAGATTAGGAGCAATTGCTAATTCAAATATGCTTTTATTTAACCCAAGCTGATTTCACATCTTCCAATGCTGACCTACAGTCTGTGTTCAGCTGAGTCTTCCATACACAAGACAAAACATCTTCTGAACCCATGAAAATATTCTCTAAGAATGATTGGTAACCAGGGTCACTTGCAAGTTTTAGGACGTCACAAATCTTTCACCTGAGCAATTTTGTTAAATTACACGGGACTTCTTTGGGAATAATGGTGTGGAGCACTAAGTCCTTGTGGAGTGTGACAGAAGAAATGAAACATAAAGAGCATCTTTCCAGTGACAGATTTGTTTTATCACTCATCAGGAAAGCACGCCCTGCTAATAGCATCAACAAGCATCATTTTAACTGTTCCCCTAGCCATTCAGAGTAATGTGTGAAAGCATTTTTAAAATGGAATCCAGTTAAGTATCTGTATAACTTTTATTTATATAAGCATATTTTCCTTACAAAGTGAAACTTTTCAATAAGCATTTGTAATTTTGGGGTTTTTTTTAATTAATTTCTATAGTAAGTTTTGTTAGAAGGTATCAGCCAATAAAACTATATAAGAATTCTCCTGTCAGTTGTTGAGTATAACTGCAAATCCACTGCCTGTCTTACAGAGAAGTGGAAATAAATGTTTATCATGAGACATAACTAATTACGGCTAAGGTGATGTTTGTATACGACAGTTGTAATTGTGATGTGAGTATTGCTAGGCTCGAAAAAGCTTGCTATAGACTACAAACAGGCAAATGAAAAACAAATAACTTGTGATGTGCTTCATTGCGTAGAATGCATTGCATTAGCATACTAAATAATGAACATGAATAACTACTTTCTCTGTGCTTTGATTGAGGTCATGTACCTGCCAACTTTTGCAAAACTTAGCAAATTAAATACAATACATTCTCATTAGTCTTGTGCAAAAAAAAATTGAAAAATTCAGTTGGTATGTTTGGAATGAATTATAGCCTCTTGAAATCATGAAAGTCTTATAGTAATGCCAATGGAAATCATCCATTGTGTTTTGATTTGCTAGAAAATAGCTTGGGTGTTGATTACATGGTCAATGAGTTTTTTTATTTGACCACGGTGAACCAGAAAGGACTTCTGCAGACAGCCTCATACAAAGGTGCTTTGCTGAAGCTCAACATAAGGAACACAACTTCGCCAATAGTATTAGAAGGGTGATCTCTGTCTCTGTAGATTGTCTCAAGAATTAGTGGGAGCAGAGACTCTTCTGTATAGATAGACCCTGTCTTCTTTGATTATTAGTGGAACTTAGGATACTTGCTAACTCAGGGAATATCTGAGGTAGCTAAATACAGATCTCAGTGAACATCTTTTTAAGAAAAGGAAAGGAAAACTTCAAAGGTATGACTTGGGAGCTGCTGATTTCCAGGTCAGCTCTTTTTCTACTAATAATTACTTCTTCTTGTTTATATAGCTTTACTGTAAGAGTCTGCGCAGACTTTGAAGGTCAAAGTATTTCAGATGAGATAGGTAAGAAATGTTTTATATTCTTATAATTCACTCTGGCCAACTCCATTTCAGATGTATATTTTTCTTACACCATGAAAGAAAATAGGAGTGAGATCCTCCTAAGGCAAGAAAATACAGTTAAAAAGATAGATATAGATATAGATATAGATATAGATATCACACAAAGCTTGTGTTATCACTTGAAGGATTTTTTATTTAGTTTAAGCCATTTTCCAAATAAAACCAAGAATGTACCCTATTGGAGAATGTTCTGTTTTGGAAAAAAAAAAAAAAAAGAAAAAAAAAAGAAAGAAATTTGAAAGAGACAGAAGTCCTGTACACATATGATCTGTAAATGAAATCAGAAATCTTAAATTACATGTATTCTATACTTTGGATCAAAAACTAGAGTGCTGCTAAACAAGCAGGCATTTAAAGCATGGATTAGTTTTACTTGGAAGATTTTGTTAGAGTAATTAACTATAATATATAGTGAATTGTTTAGTATTTATTCTTTCCATGTCAAATAAATAAATATTTGATTTACTTGTGTCCCTTAGTGCTGAAAGGTGAATTGCAATTAGATTCACTGAAACAGAAAGGAGCTGTTAAGAGGACACTCTTCTTTGACAGCCATCAGTCACATCATTACTTCTCCATTGTAATAGAAAGACAGAAACAGCTCCATTGCCAGGACTTCCTTGTTTATCTCAGAGTAAGTTGTTTAAAATATTTTGGACTGTCATCATCATTTGAGTGCTATTTAAAGAAAATAGTAAAAAAAGGAGCCACTGAAAAAGGAAGAACAATTTCCATTGTTCTTAGATCCCAAAATTACAAAAATGTCAGATAAGAAGGGCCTCATCTGAGTGTCCAGAACGTTCTTCTACCTGGGCAAAAGTTCCTTTGTAAATATTTTTCTAAATCCTGTGGCTCATATTTTGTCAATGTAAGTATAAAATGAAGACTTCCTTTGAAGAAGAATGTACGGATCCTCTGTGTACAAATACATTCATTTCATGCTCTTCTGGAAACTGTGATTAAATACTGCATCTCCTGATACAAAAATGCAAGATTGCTCTTCCTATAGTATTCATAGTGGGATAATCAACTAAACACGTTAAATGTCATGCCAATTCGGTTTCAACATATATTTTAAAAGAGTGTCACCAGCAATATTGGCCTAAAACTCATATATTTTGCAATATATTTTTCAAGTATTTTAAAATGTTTTTAGAAGAATTAAAACTGTGGAACTGAAGTTGTAAAGGAGAAAGGGTCATTGGTTACCTCAATTGCAGCTGGAATTACCTCATGTAATTGAAGCGGATTCCAAGGCTGGTTCTAGAAATGCAGTGGGAGGTGAAATGGAAGAGTCTCAAGCAGTATGTATGGAACTATCTAGGCAATAAAGGTGGTGGGGTTTTACCATTGCTAATCCCTAGAAATTCTTGGTTATGGAACAAACCAACAATATTACCTCCACAAATCCACACATGCCCTCCCTCCATTCGAAAAGGAAGGAGGGCAGTAGCTGATAGGAGTTGGTTCTGTGTGTCTTTTTTAAACAGCTTCATTTTAGGCTAATGGTTTGAAAAAATTCTGAGTCTGCTCAGCTCAGCCAGCTTCTTCCAGATGTGGGGCTGTGGAGGCAATGTGTTCTGGGCATTCCAGTTACTGGTGAGTCACTTTGCTTTCCTAATGATGTTACGTACAGCCAGAATTTGGCCAGCAGCTGTCAAAGAACGGTATCTTTACCTTCAATAAAGACTAAAGTCTGAATCTGTTGCCATGCCATGCTAATCTGAAATACTGATATGAAACCATTGTTTTTTATTATGTGATTGTCACTCACAGGATGAAACAGAATTTAGAGATAAATTATCTCCCATCAATATAAACTTGAATTATAGTTTGGATGAATCCAATTTTGAAGATAGCTTGACTGTGAAGCCAATACTGAACTATTACCAGAAAAGCTCAGTAACAGAACAGGTATGAATGTTGCGTGCCACATTTTCTGTATATAAATGTGAAAGCATTTACAAATACTGTGTGTCATCTTCCTTAAAACAGAATACCATGCCCAGAAATTAAACAACAAGGATTTAATTAATTCAAAATGTAAATTGAGTATAAATATAGAACCAGGCAGGCCTTTAAACCATTTCCAAAACTGTGTTGTGTTCATAGTTTTGATTGCATTCTAGAATATGTAAGCCAAGTTACTGTGGGAAAGGGCCTGAAAGCTTACGTTGTTCTGCTAAGGACACAGTTGACAGTCTAAATAGTCTCCAAAAGTACTCAAGTAGAAAGGAACTTATGGAAAGGAGAAAGAGATTAATACACCAGGGCTGTGCTAGTGATATTTAAGACATTTAGGTTAGGGCTATTTAAGACATTTTGGTTCGTGATATTTCATGAAGTGATTTGGACTCTGAAGCATGTACTAACTGTATTACTTTTTTTTTTATTTTACAACAATACAGGCTTACATTCTGGTTGACTGTGGGGAGGACAACTTGTGCATTCCTGACTTGCAGCTTTCTGCTTTGCCGTAAGTTAAATAAAATAAATGATGCTGTGTATAACAAAACCCAGACACTTCTAACTGCTTTAACAGAATGAAATATGTAGAACAGCTCTGTTGTTTGCTATAGCTAGTCATTCTTATCTGATTTCCAGATTTTAATTTTCTCATCCATTTCATCTAGAAAGCCAAGAAATGGAGAATGTACATTTAGAAATATATCTTTGTCGGATATATTCTGATGTTTAATGGTTATCATAGAAAATATAGTTTGCAAGTGTTTGTTAGGAGTGATTCTAGTACTCTGAATGCCAAGAGATAATACAAATTGTTGTTCAAAGGAGATTTTAAATTTGTTTATTTCAGTGTGCCAGTGACTTTAAGCTTGGGACACAATTCTCCTGAAATCAGTATACGCTGTAGCAAATGAATCTCAGAATAAAAGAATTTCAAAACATGGCAACAATTCCTGCTATGGAGGGAGAAATATGCCAAGCAGGACAAGTGGGGAACCTCTGACAGTTATCTGACTCTGCACCATCAAAATCAGTACATAGCTGTGAAAGGAAAGAACACAATGCCATTGCAGGTTTCAGGAGACCTTCTGTCGTCGTTCATTTTACAATAGGCATGAGGGGAAAACTGCAATCCTACCACCTTTGTGCCCTCCAGAAAAAATCCTGATAGTACCCCTGTGGCAAGTAATTTCTCCACTAGGTACCTCCTTCTGGTTAGAAAGTAGTCAGGCTCTGAAATTTTATACAGCTAACTTCCAAGTTCTGTCGTAGTCCACTTTGACTGTCCATGGTGGTGTTTTCTCTTGACCTCTTTCATACCCAGGTGCTGCCGTACTTTCCCATGGGGTCATTTTTTATGGAAAATGTTTTGTTCTGTGTTCACAGAATATTTTCCAGAACAGATGCTATGAGACCAAAATGTCCTTCTGCTTTATTCATACATAAATCGCTATTGTGCATGTTTTTAACTCCTGACAAGTAGTATGTTCTATATAGAGATAAAGATCAGCTAATAATTGGAGAAGAAAACTGTGTCATGCTCATAATAAATCCAAGGAATGATGGGGAAGGAGCCTATGAAGCTGAGCTACATATAAGGATTCCACCTGAAGCAGATTACACTGGGGTTGAACGCAACAACAAGGTAAATGAAAATCAAAATGTTAGCGATAATAAAGCAGAAGAACTGAGAGCAAAGTTAACCTATGTAGGCTATACCAGCTGAAAGCAATAAGTAGAGAGGTGCCTCTTAGGAAGGGAGATTCCATTGATTCTCAGCCATCCTTGCTCACACAGCCCAGGCTAAAGATTAGCCATATCACCAGGAGATGGGAAGGTCAGTACCATTTTATTCAGAGCCAGCTCAGGTCCAGCTCCTTGCTCTTAGCTGATTTATAATACCACACAAATACTGTCACATTTCTCCTATAGCTAGAGGTATTCACAGCATTCAGATTTTGAACCAGTAAACCCTACCAGTAGCAGGGAGTGGTAGTGTAGAATCCCCTGAGCGCTTCCAACCTTGCATCCTGGGGTATCAGCTCTCAGTCAGTTAATGAGCCGTGCTGAACCCCAGACCCTTGGACACCTCTGTCTCATGCTTCCAGCACACCATTGTTTTACCATTATTAAGGTATCCTGAATAGTTGAACATTAACTGCAGTATAAACTTGACAAAGTCGATTTTCTGTGTAGTCAGTTGTTTTATCTTATGGATAAGGCCAAAAAGCGGTAATACTGTAAAATGTATTGGTGTTCACAGAAGGACTAATGTTGACTGAAGTCCCACTGAGCTGTACTGAACATAGTGTTTCCTTTTTGAGTCTGTTTGTTTTTTAAGAGGAAAGATGAAACACTATCCTGCAAACAAGCAGAGTGTTCATGTATTCTCTGTTGGACAGCAAGTCCGAATCGCCTCATCTGCACATAAATCTCCCAAGCTGTTGCAACATGAGCTTGCTTTTCTCTGTCAATGCCTGGAAAGTTCAGAAGGGCCTCAAGGGTGAGAGTGGGAGAAAGCAAGTTAATTTCCTTTCTGAAGGCAAATGTTTTTAAGGAAGTTGAAAGTAACTTACAAGGTATTTCCTTATTCTCCTTGTGTCAGTGTCTTTATTAATGAACTTTTAGCCCAGTTTGAAAAAAAATGACAACAATTAATGATGTTATCAACTATGAGAATAGGGAAATTCTCTGCAACCTCACTTCTCAGAAGCATATCTTTGCACACAAAACAAATAAGTAAAGACACCGGCCTCTTTCTATTGTCTGTTTCTTTTGTTCTCTTAGCATAGCCTCTGTTTTTTCAGACTGTGATGTACAGAACTTAAGTTCTCTTTAATATACTGCTCCTGATTACATTTTTCCTTTGTTGCTCTTCAGGAATCTTTAGCTGTTCTTTTGGCCATTACCAAGGATGTCAGGGGAGGCACTTATTCCAAAACCCACAGCACATATAAGCACGTATCTATCATTTGGACTGGACAGAAATCACTCAGGGCTTCTCATTATTTTAGGAAAATCTGAATTTTGTAGTGCCAGCAGGGTGGACTTCTGGGGAAAGGAAGGAAAAAGAGGTGGGAGATTCTGATGCTTTGGAAGAATGAGAAGAAGCTAGAATGGGTTGAGAACGAGTGTTAATATTGTTTTTCTTTTGAAAATAAATCTTTAAAGGCCCAGGAAATGTAATGCAACTTTTTTATTTTCTTCAGTTTTTGACAAGTCCAATTCTGAATCCTTCTGGATTTATAGAAAAGTTGCCTTCATTTTGCCTGTATTTATTTAGTTCACTGCAACACGTAACTTATTTCATATTCTCTTACTTTTCATACTTATTCCATTCAAAGAGATGTCATTATGTTCTTTCTGAGAAGGATCAAAAAATTAGTCCTACTACCTACGTCGTTCTTAGTGACTTGCCTTCTGCATTGAAGGTACAGTTTTCACAAGGATTACATATGGTACTGAAAGCAAGTTTATTCTTTCTATTGTTTTTAAACTGTAAATGTATTTTTTTAAAACCATGATATTATGGTTCCATCAAATAAACTAAAAAAATCACTTCTAAGTCTGTTTGGAAAATAAATTGGCATTGTAATTTTCTTCAAAAAGATAAAGCTAAAACTTGCTGGCATTTAACTGCTGGTGGAGGTTGGCTCTTGTATGTATTCAGGTGCTTTTCTGTACTGCCATATGTCACCTGAAACTGCTGTGAACATGACAAAGAAGAATATGCAATCTTTGTAATTTAAAAAAAATTAGAATGGAAAACGACATTTTAACACTCAGACATTCTTTTATATCCTTCCTGTTTTGTTTTCTCATTCAATTTATTCTGTCTACATGTACAAATTAAGTAATTTGACCACTCAAAGCAAGAATCAGCAGGATTTTTTGGTTTTTTTTTCCCCCGGAGCAATCAGAATCCTAGGTGTCAGAGGTTCATGTGTTACCAGGATAACCAAATTCTTAGAGGACATAGTATAAATGAGTATAAATTAAAGAGGGGCTCAAATAATTCAACTACAGGGCTTTAAAAAAATAAGGCAATTTGAACTGCTTGATGGGAGCACAGAAGAAATTATCACACTGGTATGCAGTAAACACTGAGGTATGTGGAAAAAAGGTCTTGGTCTGTGGGTACTTTGAGGCATGGACCATACATGAAAATTAAGATTTTGTTGTCAGTTGCAGTGGAGTCAGGATTTCACTTCTTATTTTTGTGTTTGTGCAACACTTTGCCAATGGGCATCTGTGATTGCTCCTGAAATGTACTGATCTAATGCAGAGTATTTTCAGCAAACAGGTGGATTTGTGGTGGAGCCTGTTGCAGTCATGCTTTTAAAGATCTGTACCTAAGGATTTCATTGACTCTTCAATGCATCAGTGTTTACAGTCCTCTGTGTAGTTGTTTTTCTCCAAACTGCAGAATTTCTTGTATTAAGGCAGAGATAATACTCACTTCAGAGCCAGCAAAACAGGTAGACTGAGAGCAGAATAAATTAAATGTAATCAGCTGAAGAAATCACTTGATACATTTCTGATGGAACTGAAAAATCTTTAGGATCAAATCATTCTATTTTGCTGCCATCATTTCAAATTATGCTCATGCAGGATAGTAGGCTACTTTATTATGGGGCTACACTAGATTTAGTCTATCTAATAGAGAAACAAATTTATCTCTTAAATGCTTATTGGGTTTTTTTTAATAATTTCTTGAGTTATTCTGTATCATTTGAATTACACTCAAAAAGTGTTAAAGTCAACAACCTAACTGAAAATTCCCTTGCCTTCTACCTCTTCCCTTCAGCTTCATGAAATCCAGTGTTTGACCTGCCTCTGCTGTCATTATCTTGTTATCTCAGGCCTGATTCTTTAGCATATTGTACATAGACTGTGTAACCATATCAAAAGAGTGGCATTTTGCAGAGATGTACGTGATCATATACAAGTGGATAGCCAAGTGAATGTGTGTGATCTTAAAATCTGAGGTCAAGGATACGATTTTTAAGTTTCATTGATTCTTGCACATACTGATACTTCCTTCAGTCAAAAGCTGATTAATGAAATACAATGACTTACAGTGATATCAAATGCGCTATTCACTAGTTTTATTGTGGAAATATTTAGAAGGTCCAGAGGTAAATGAGTAAATTACCGCAGCTTTACAAGTTACTGGAAACCTGTTGCCTTGTAATCACTGTCCATATGCAGTAGGCGTGGAGTTACTGGAATTAGCTTCAATGAAAAAAAGTAAGACCTCATTACATTTCGTTATATTCCAATGGATACAAGAGGATCATATACTCAAATATAATAACAAGGGTTATTAATGTCATATTTCTACTTAAAACTTCTCTTCATTCTCTCTGAAAGATTACATTTCCATGGGCAGCAGTAGGTCCAGAGACAGTATCTAGTTGCTGTATGGTACATTCTTACACTATGATAGGATGATTGTGTCTATTTGAACCCCAAGCTATTGCTAGAATACTGAGCGCTGATCCTTTGCTCAGTGACAAAGTTCCCCATATTGAACAGCTCAATCCTGCCTTAATAGCAAGGGCTGGAACCAAAATTCACATGGAATAATTAGTAGAAGTAAATCAAGCAAATACAAAGCCATAATAGGTATTTGTTCCACACCGAAAACATTATGTATTTTGGCATAACTGTCTCTGCTCACTCTGGGAACTGCAGAGTTGTTGCAGATCACAACCAGATTTATATTACAGTGGATAAGCTCTGAGCCGTTATCCGCATGCGTTTCTGAAGTACAGCATGACACTCTCTTAAAATAGGAGAAAGACCCAAATGTATGGTCTTCTTGTCTGACCTGAACATTCTTAGAGTAAGTACATGGTGGCTGGCTAGATGAGATGTGATTTGAGCCTTGCGAGGACAAACACAAGTTCTTCATTTATCAGCTGGATGAGAAGCTAGATTCTGGCACCTGGTACCTAATCCATCCACTTTTCCTCAGAAAATAAGATGGGAAGGTGTTGATCAAGGAAAGAGAAACTTCTCAGCCTGTTGTGCTTAACTATTCTGGCATCAATTAGTAATTCATCACTAAGACCACCAGAAAGAGTTTCAAGTTTGTAGGCTGCCTGGATTACTTAAAGCATCCAATCATTTTCTAGTTAAAATGCACCCTGGGAGCACATGTGTTAATTGTTGGGGTTTTGCTTCTGCTCAAGACTGCCAAAAAGACCATGTGTTGCTATAAAAATATAAATTGCTACCAGTGGCAGGTAGAAGGATTTTGTGGCAAAACATTCCATCTGGCTGAGCTACATAAGAACTCAATGATACTGACAATACTGGGTGTATAACGCTCTGCTTGGGCTTGCTTCCTGCCTGGTTTTAATTTTCCTGTTTTGTACTTAACCACCTCAAAAAGGTGATCAGTGACAAAACAAAGGCAATAAATCTCAGTATTGAAGAAATTCTACCACAGCTGACCCTTTGTCACATCTTTATGCTGCACAAATTAGCTTTTGTGATGCTGGTCATATAAATTCTGTGCCATTGATCATTTTCAGTCTAAGAGCATAGTCTCCAAATGACAGAAAACCTGCCTGCAAAACTCCTCTCTTTGCTCAGCCTTTGAAGGACAAAAAAAAGTGTGATAAGGGCTGATTTACTCTGTACTGGTGTGTGATACAGCATTAATAAAGAAACTGGAAAGTATCAAATATAGATGAATATTTACTTTCTAATATTGAGACCTCAATTTCAACACCCACCCCCAAAAAATAAAATCAAAACTATAAACCCACACATCAAGTCAAACCGAACAGTTCTCCAGATGAGTTTGGTTTCAACTGTGTTATCGCTCTCTCTTCTCCCGTGTTGCTTCCCACCTCTAATTAACCCGCTGGAAGGAGTGTAAAAATCCCCCACTCCCAACCCTGGAGAGGTTTGGAAAGGCTATTAGTGCTCTGGACGTGCTGTGTAACACACTTTGTTTCCTCCTCGCAAATTGTAAAAGTGTCAGTATACAGTGAGGTGTGTGCTGAGGGCATGCTTCACATGGGCTCCTTTAGGACATGCCCTATCTTTTCCTTTAATCTCAGGAAACTATAAGGTCAGCATGTCCGTGCTGGCTTTTAGAGATAGGAATGAATTGGTAGTCAGTGGTCTGGAGAATTCCCAGGTCTTTTTATATAAAAGCATGACCTTGCACGTGTTGCTTAATCTGTGAGAATCACAAGTGAGAGGAAAGGTAGTGGGAGAGCATTATAGCAACAACTAGCTGCATCCTGCTTTTACAAAGCTAGTTTACTTCTGCACATATATGGAAGTATTTTCTTTTATTGAATATGCCAGAGAGGAGAACAGGAAAAAAAACCCACATATTTTTGCTTTGTCTTACTCTGTATCTCTTAACTCCCACTCTTCTATAGATGTTCCTTGTTTTATACAGTCTGTTTTGTTTATAGGTGATAACAACTAGTGATAAAAACTAAAGGGTTAAAAAAAAAAACCCCAAATGTAGGATACATTTTACATTAGGAGCTTTAGAGGGAAATTATATGAGTGTATCCTCAAAGTTGTCAAATGAACTGCCTGAGAGACGTTAGGTAAAAACTGGACTTTGAACAAACAGTTGCTGGAAAAAGTTAAATTTTACTTACTTGTATAAACAACAAACACCATAATTTCTGATAATGTGAAAATGTATCTCCTTTGTTGCTGAATTATAAACACAGGTAACAGATTATGTTTTTACAGAAGTATTTAATGTTCTACTTCACCATAGGTTGGAAAATAAAGTTCTGGACTTGGTCCATAACAAAGTTATGCCATAAAGTTCTGCCAATGCCAGAAATTCACCGCAGAGACGTCTAGTGATGGATAATACAACCATTGCAATTAGTGTGAGGCCTGTTCTCCTCACTCAGTTTTGCCTACTCTTTTTTTCTCTGTTGAGTCATTATAGGAATGACTCACAACAACAACGCCGTATGTTAAAACTAGAAATAGAGTGATCTCATCATGGCTCTTAAAGTACTGGGGAACTTTCCTGTTTGTTTTTCCCTGGCATCAGTTTTCCCCCATTGTCTGACAATAACCCATTAAATGTTTTGATAGTGCACTGAGCAGGTGTCTGAAATCAAAAGAAATGTCACAGTCAAAAAGGCATCACTTTCCCAACTGGATACATTTCACTGTGATCTCTGACCTCCATATTGGTGTCCTTTTGTTACAGGCACTGCGCGTATTGAGCTGTGATTACAAGATGGAAAATGAAACTAGAATGGTGGTTTGTGATCTTGGGAACCCCATGGTGGCTGGCGCAAACGTAAGGGAAAACCAGATGCATTTACTGATTTTTATCTAATTGAATTTTAAAGGAGAGCAAATGGAAGACTATTCAATTAGCAGAATGTGTCTCAATAAGCAGCACCTAAACTGAATTATTTACTTGGACAGGAAATTGTTGGTGTAATAAGAGGCAGAACTGTGCTTCTGAAAAACTAACAATTTGTTGTTCTAAAAGATTAATAATCCTACAGCTTGTGTTTTATTTAACTTACTCTAAAAAAATGAGAGTGATTCAATTTAAGTTAAAGAAGTTACACTAGTATAATGAGAATTCCAATCCATAATGGCATGTTTATTTCTCCCTTTTAGTATTCTTTCTGCTTAAGATAACTATAGTAAATGACAGCTTCTTTAGCCTGATTGTTATCTTGAGTGCATAAGGGTTGTCTTATTAGTTTATATCATGATTTATATCCATGAAAATGTGGTTTGAGTCAAGTTCTCCTTCAAGTTATTAATGTCATTCTAAACATTTTCCTAAGACAGCTATTCATAAATTATACTGAACATTAGACAGAACATTCATAGCATTGTTTTTAGACAAAAGTGCGACTGAATAATGACTGATGATGGACAGAAGATAAGGATTAAACATAGGTTTGGAGATAAAAAAGCGCTACCCATTCCATAGTTGTCATCACTTGTCGCTATTTCATGACAAAACGGTTCAGGGCAATCCCAGAACTGTTGAACCCAGGAACGTTCGCCATGGATGCCCTTGCAGAGGAATTCTAGTGCTGCTCATAAATTCATCAATGCTATGAATATTTAACAAAAAACAAATAGCCCGAGCTTATATACTTAGATAAAAAGTTGTCCTAGTAAAAATGAAGCAGTCATCAGCATGAATATATACGATGAATAAACAACAACTTTTAATTAAAAACTGCTGCTGTTTGCATTTCATATTGGGCCTGGAGCTTTGCAATGAAACCAAAGCATATTTCCTTCATATTTTCAAAGTCCTTATTAAGTTAAGGTTTGTCATATGGAAGATCGATATTTCACTCTTCAGACTCTCTATAGAGGGGTGGTTTTCTGGCCTTTTAGGATCTTGAAGGATTTACTGTCTGACCCTCAATAAGAGAACAAAATGGGTCATGTGATAGGAGACTGGGACTAGAATAAGCTTGTTTGCATCACAGGGTTACCTTCTGATCAGTCATAGGGCTTCTGAAAGTGAATGTGAGACCAGGTGTCTCACACAGTCATCTGCCTCCATGGTCACGAGCAGTTGCAGATAGACTCTTTGGGATTACAAGGAGCTGGAAACCATTGAAAAATTATCTCCAGGTGATGGACCTACTGGGAGCATGAACCTGCCTAGTGAGGATCCTTCTCTGTAGAACTACCATGAACTAGAAACCTGAAGGGGGTACTATAAACATTTTCTGGGAACAACGTTGCCCTAAGAAGGCAAACTGGATAGATATTGGAGTCAGTGAGTGTAGAGGAGAGGGCTAAAAGTCTTTGTAGTTTTTGTTTTATTCTACCAAATGAAACTCCTAAAAAGTAAGAGTAATTGAAAACATTTTTGAGGAGTGGAGTTTTTCATAATGGGATGATGGGAGGCAATGATGGGCCGAAGCACTAGATAAATCTCAAGTCAAGGCAGATAATTTCTTGTACCAGAAAACCAGCAAATTTAGGTATCTGCTTAGTGGTTTCCTAGCTGGTCTCATGGCCGAGACAAATTCTCAAGATATAGACAAAAGTGGGCAAAAATCTTGTGGATGATTGGGATGCAGTGAAGGGAAAGACAGCATAAAAACCCGTGGATTTTGAAGAGAAAAGGAAGACTAAATACAAAAGACACTAACAGTGTATACCAAGCTAGGAACAAATCTTTGTGGTTTGCATACTGTCATATACACAAGCAATGGAAAGGTCTGAGTTTGGAGGTATTACACTACAGCCCCTCACACTCTTCCCTTTGAATCTAAAGCCCTGTTTCCACATCATTCTTGACCCAAAACGCTAGCAGTGTGAAGACATCAGGAATGCTATTTGATGGCCACTAAAACAGTACTACTCTCACCTGTTTCCTTATGAATTGTCACAGCATAACTAATCTTATTTTTCTTCAGAATCTGCTCTAGGGCTGCCATAGATGCATTGTTAGCAAATATTCCTAAGCAAAATACTTCATAAAGAGAAACTTAGTAGTAGCAGAATGAAACAGCAGGGTTCATAACATGTTTAAGGATACGCTGGTTTATAACAAAAGAATCCAACCCTTGAAAATTAAGGCATATGACGATAGAGCATTACAAAGCCAGATGGCAAAACTGCTTGATTATAGTGAGTGAAAGCTTAAAGCCTAAGTTTATCTTTGAAACCAGCTCTCCTGGAAGCTTAGTAAAGGTGAAAGGACTTGAGCTTTTTCAGTCCAAGCGTATTTATGATGGCAAAAGTACTTCCAACAGCGAAATACCAACCCTTTGTACAAATTGCATAAATCATGAAAGGCTGCTCTGATCCATTTCCAATTTTGCAAAAACAATTCGGCTCTGGCAGGAGATCAGTTATTCTCAAAATATTCTGTCAGAAAGGGACTCTTTGTGGAAGTTGTGAGGGAGTGGGAAGGGAGGGTTAGGTCAAAATCAAACATTCCTAAAACTCTTAACTATTGAGTCACTGTAACAACTTTTCAGCACCCTGAAATCCTAGAATTCTTGAATTCTTTAAGATCAGCTTCGGAGTATGAGGGTTATGTCAGGATTTAGTGATATAACCCATGGGATATTGCAGCAATGGGCTACAGAGTTGTCTGATACTTCACATCTTCAAAATGCATTACGGTCATCAAACTTGGTATATCTGACTCTTTGAAAATCTGTGACCTTAAAATCATTTACTGGCCACAAAAATTGCTTAGCCTTTTCAGTAATATCTTTGTGGTTAAAAAAAAATGAAAAGATAAAAAAGAAGCTAAACAGAAATGAGAAGGAAAGTCACAAACCCATATGGCCCAGAATGCAAACTAAATGTCTGTGATACCATCTCACTGGCAAAGAGTGCTCAAAGTACTTACTTATGACACTGAAATGGATCAGACTGATAAGCTTCCTAGTGTGTGTTCAGCAGACTTACTGAGTGAGATGTAGGTTTTATTTTATTCTAGGAGAAAAATTTGGAATTTAATTGAAATGAATAGAAATAAGGTTAGAAGACTGGGAGGCTTGAAAGATCTCACCTATTTCTTGGTATGTACTAAACTGATTCTTAAAGAGCACAGGGGCTTTATCTTTCATATGCACTGTTAGATACTTCAAAAAAAGCTAGCCCTCTGTCTCCCGGCATAATTCTAGATCCTGTGTAACATAACAACAGATTAAAGCTTATCATCAGTAATAGCAGAAATGTCATGTATTTCAAAGATACATGAGGTTACTAGTGTGGAAAATAATGCAATTTTAATGTAACTAACTTGACTTGGAAATTTTTAAATAAAATTAATCTATTCTGATAAAATGAACATCCTACTAAAATAAGAAGGTTGAGTGAATGCTAAGTTACAAGCTCAAGCAAATTCACCTCCTTTGGCCTCAGTGGGTTTTCAGCAAGGGCATGTGAGCATCTTTGCCCCATTATTAGTAGCAGTGTCAAGGGTTACTTGACATTAACAAAGTCATACAACCATGCAAAGACAACATCTGCAATTTATTAGGCTCATACAGTAGGAGTGTGTTTCAGTATTAAAGAAGGGATTAAGCCTCAGGGGTATAATAGATCATCAAAACTGCAGTTCATCTCTGCTCTATCGGAGGAAAATTTTATCTCTGGTTCATCAAATTTTTTTTCTGCTGTAAGTGGAAACATTTATATAGATGTGATTACTAAAAAAAACAGTCAAAGAAATGCTGAATTGAATATTTGGAATTTTTCGTCTCAGAGATTAAAAAAATCACCCTGTATTTTTAAAGGTGAATGAAATATCAATACAGTTGTTAAAATCATCACCAAAAAGTGGTCTTAAGAATAGCTTATATCTCTATTCCAAGTCAGCTATTCAGCTTCTGCTTAATTTAATGAGCATTATCTTTTAATCTTAAAGCTTTTACTTGCAAAAGTAACTATAACTATGACATTAAAATGCTCAGAATTCAAAGACTTGAATTTGCCATTTCTTTTATGATGACAATATTGCTTTCAGCATAGGACAACTGAAAGAAGTAATTGAAACATGTTAGCTAAGTCTCGTTCTTGAGATGGATTAAGATTCAGTGATGGACCACTGCAAGTGAGGAGAGGAGAACTGAATGAAAATTTAAAAAAAAAAATAATGCTTGGGGTAAAGAAATTGCTTAAACATCTGAAATGACACCCACAGAGGAAAATACCTCTTCTTCAGTGCTATTGAACCTAGGTCCCAAATAGAAAACTCTACATTGCTGTGTGCTGTCCTGTTGCTGAGAATGCTACCTCAAGTATGTTAAGGAAAGTATGCCAAACGAACAACTCTTTTTCTTTTACTTTTTTTTTTTCTCCTGTAATCTAGTCAGATATTGGCAGAGATGAAGGTATGATGTCCTCATTTCCCAATGCCTTTTGATGAATTTCTCAGGAAGATTGTTTCTCCACATGGATAATACGGCTATATGTAACCATCCTTTTTAAAAAAATGAAAGCAGAGTGTGCAAGTTATCTAGCAGGAAATTCTACCAGCAGGCAACAGGGGAGGTAGGGGGGAGGGAGAAGTTGTACAAAGATTACAGGCTACTGACTTTGCTGTCAATCTCAATGCAAAATTCACATTTCAAAAACTACCAGATTCAAAACACATGCAGTTGAAATAAGGCAATTAAAACCATTAATTTAAATATTGCAGTACCATTTTATTAATTTAACATGGAGGGCAGATGGCATCTCCCCTTGCTCCCCTGCCACTTGCATACCGGGGCTGTAAGTGTCCAACAAGAGGGTTACAGAGACCCCACCATATGCTGTTGTGTATTCCTTCTTTAGTTAGCCCTGCAATTCCATTCTGTCTTCTGAATTAGGTTGTTCTGCTTTACTCTGTGCCCTTCTTGCAAAGCAAATGGAAATTATCAGATGGAGGAAGCAAGGTCTGCATAAACACAAGGGAGCACCAGTGGAAACTTTTATCTCCTTCAGTTTGGGGAATTGTGTGTTTTGCCCTCCATCGTCTGTGGTCACATGCTGAGAGATGTGGCAAACTGAACTGCAAATACAACTTTGAAGTTGTATTCTTCATAACTGAACTATAGCTCCCAGAAGCTGCAATGAAAAAAGCTCAAACCAAATCAAACTAAAACATCAAGCTGCTGCTAATTTAGCCTCTAGAAGAAAAACAGGTGATCAGTCAGCCCTGCAACACCTAAAGCTTGCAGCTCATGCACAGTTACAGAGACAATGGGAGGAGCAGGAAACCCTGGAGACCTGGACAAAGGCATACATGGATGGAGACAGGGATGAGAGGTGCCAGACAGCTATTATTTTCTTTTGGCTTGGCAAAGTAAAGCAGACTGTCTGGATGAAGAAGGGCCCACCACAGTGTTCTTGGGAGTATGCTTCTCTGTTTCTCTTGATCTTTCCTCTGTCCAGCCAAGTTTTCCATCTGGTGACATACACAGGCAGCATGGTATTTCTTCCTAAAAACAACTAAATGATATTATTTCATACTAATTTTAAAAATTAACAGTGTCCTATACAAGTCTGTGAAATGTGGTATTGAACAGTACTCCTTTCTCAATACGGCAGGATCAAGCCATTTTTAGTAACCTGTTGTTTTGTTTCTTTCCCAGTTCTCTACAGGCATTCGATTTTCTGTTCAGCATTTTGAAAATGCAGATTTCAGCATCAATTTTGAGCTGCAAATAAAAAGGTTAGATGCTTTATCAAGAGTATGGTTATTTAAATTCTGAATTCCTGTGATATCTAAAGTTTAATGTATAAGAAGGTCACTAACTCTTTAGCGTCAGTGTTTATTTCATGGGCATTCCTATAGTAGCTTTCTTCAGGAAGACTTGTGCAGTTGGAACCTTGTTAGCTTTTAGCACAATCAGTCTTAGAGTTAGTCTGAGAATTTTATTATGTTAAAATTCAGGGTAACTGATTTTGGTCAGTGGTCCAAGGATCTCCTACAGATTTGCCCAATTTGCACTGTATTCTCCACTTCAGGATTAATGAACAGTGATCACTTTGTAACAAAGTTCTGTATTTAAAAACATGCCATGTAAAAAAAAGATATTCTACTTCTTCACGACAATTTAAAAACTAGTAGGAGAGCAGTTAAAATCTGCTCAACAGATTTACTGGCGTGAAGAGAGAAAACTCTTTCGGTTTGATGCAGGTGAGCCTTTGTCATTTTTCCATTAGGTTCCTCCATATTTGTGGGGCTGAAATATTACTGCCAGAGAATCTTCTGTTTTATGCTGAGCAGTACTTCTTGCACAGGGACAAAAAAGCACAGGATGGGCTGGGTTAGGATAATAGCAAGAACAAACCTGGGATTTTTTCAGTAGGTGGCAGGGCTTCTGCGCCATCTGTCCTCGTTAAATACACACTGGAGTTCCTGATGGGGCCCTCCCTGCCCCACACGCAGAGACTTAATTGCTAATGTCTGGCCTTTAATGAGGGCCTTGATCATGTTCACCATGGTAAATAACTGAGACATTTAAAATGTTTAAGTCATGTTCCCAGAACGTAACCCTTGAAGGAAAGGACGTGTGGAAACTCGGGAAGGGCACAGCAACACCAGAGAAGACAGTGAGGTGCCTGGTTAGGCCTCAGCCCTCTCCCAGGGGTCTGGCTGGTGAGCTGGAGGCCATGCAGACCTCTGCATGAGCTCCTCCAGACAGAGGTACAAGATATCTACCTCGTAGGTCACCTGTCCATACCACTGTTCACTGTCAGATCATTAATGCAAGCAGTACAGTTTGAAATGGGTATCAGAGGCTGTCGTCACTACCCTTTTCATGCTGTGAAACTGGGGAGGTTCAGAGCTTTTTGGGTAGCTAGATCTTTCTAGGTAATAACAGTTGAGGGTAAGTCACCTTCATAGAAAAAGTGACAAGGCTTTACCAAGGAATAAGTCTGAACTTCAGGAGACAGCAACATCTCATGCTTCTTCCATGAGTGTGACTCACTAAAATGTAAAGGGAAGAATCTGCTGGGCTGTCAAAAAGGACAGTTTCCACAAACTGGTATCAAAATGCTGAAAAGCACCCAGCTACTTCACAACAACAACAAAAAAATTAAACTTCTTGCATAGAGAATGTACCCTACAGGTAGAACTCACTGCTTTGTACATTCCTTCCCAAGCAGCACTACAGTTTGTGCATGTCTGTGTCCTTAGTGAACAGGTAAAACAGTCTTAAAAGAAAAAGGAAACAGAAATCCATAAGGCAGAAGAAGAAATTACCTAAATGGAAGGAAAGGGAAGCAGAGAACGTGTCTGAATTTGTGTCCTGGTCTGAGTTATTCAAAAGAGAGACCTTTAACTTGCTCGAAAACATCAAGTGGAAAATAAATATTTTGGTTTCAAGGCTGAAGTGCATTACTTATAGGAAATAAGCAAGAGGCTGAGTAGTGTCTTGAAATCCAATTCCTTTTCTGATGTGGATTTTGCTAAGCAATTACATACCCCTTAGAGAGGGAGATGTCCTGGCACTTATATTTAAACTATTTTATTCTCTACAGAATACCATAAAGCACAAACAAGATTTGAATACTAAATAGGTATGATCAAAAATCTGTATTTTAACTCTATGGAAAGTAGTACCATTATACAAATCAGAGAAAAGCTTTTTCTAACAAATTGGTGGTATAGTCATTTTTATACTTTAAGCAATTTTTGTACTTTCGTACTCAAAACAATGGCTATAGAGGATTACATCAAAAGTTCAAATTATGTTTGAGGGGAATCTGCATTAGTTTACAAACAAATCAGAGCTGCTTCTAATTTTAGAAAGCTGTAACCAGAAAGCCTGGATCAAAGCAGTATTGCCCTTTACTCCTCAGGAATCAGTTGCTGGGAATGCTGGCCTCCTCTGATTGTTTCCATTTCACTGATGCTACCCAGATGTGATAACAGTAAACTGTGACAGCAACAAAAACTCCGTGAAGCAAGAAGTACTTCCACGCTTGCTTGAAAAAAACCTCCAAACTTAGTATCATTAATCCCATAATTAAATAAATTTTAAGTCTGTAATTATTTATTTTCACTGTCTTCATGAATTTGAACCTGAAAACCTTTTTTTGCATGAATGGGCTATAATCATAGAAATGCCCTTTTGAAGTGAGAGAAACTACCTTTGCTACTAAGGATTTGCAATAAGAAAAGACAATAAAATCAGTGAGAGCACTAGGCTTTAAACACAGGGATCTGTTTTCATTGCTGAGTGGGATTAAAGGTGTAAACACTCTCTGGATAGGGGAGGGGAGAAAATAAGAAAGGTAAAGAGAAGTTTATATTGGTGATTTTTGCGCAGAGACTCTGTCATGCAGAAGTCACAAGTTTGGAGGTTCATAAAAGCAAATTTTATTGCAACAAAGCCTATCTTGTTCATTAACACTGCCTTCCTCCAATGCATGAACACCCGTGTATTCTATTAAGATACTCATGTCCATACAGATATCCAAGTCAACAACGGAATTTACATGATACTCTGAACTACATAAATTTGTATCATGATATTCACACATAGGATTCTTGTAAGAAAGCTTGAGTTGATTATATTATTAAATGTGTGATGAGCTCAAATAATATCAAATTTAAATAAGTGTTCTACAAGACTGAAGAGTGTCAATAACAAGCCCATGCTGTAATATGCCCAACGGCATCACTTCCTAATTGTAGGCCTTGTGGTATTCAGTGCTGTATCTGTAACAATCTAACCCTTGTACACGTCTTTTCCAGTTCTAACAAGATTAATCCCACCAGCAATTTAGTTAACCTCCATATCAACATCAGTGCTGTGGCTCAAGTACAGATCAGAGGGTAAGTATTTGACATTTCAATTCAGAATGATAACTATTTTTTGTATTGAATATTTCCACATATAATAATCCCATGTAGTGCATCTTTTGACATACTATACTCCAAAAGGTTTTATCCACCAAGAACACCTGAGAATTCCCAGGGAGTCTCACCCCTGTAAGCCTTCCAGGATGCAGCTACTAAGGACTTACCAGGTCATGTAAGGCAGGACCGCCCGCATGGACTCCAGTAAACTTACTGAGTGTCTGTGCAAATGCAGCACGCTGTAGAATCCCACACTGTAGTAACACCAGTCAGAGCCAACATTTTATTTGGGCATTAAAATTCCGTATGGATGTTACTAGTACAAAGTGCCTGTTTGTATGTATAGGTCTGCTTGTGCAACCACTTAGGCACTTAATTCTGAATACCAAAGCAGAATCTGCTGCTTTTATGACTGGAACAAGGAAACACATTATGGCAAGGCATATAGCAGAGTGGGGCCTTTGGAGAAGGGATGAATAAGGAGCAAGCTATGACAAGAAGTCAACCAGCTACTATCGTAGGCTTCTTACATTTCTGTCCGGAGCAGGTGCCTGTCTACTGACACGAGGGACACCAAAACTAAAGAAGCACAGGATATGATCAAAGATGATTATTTCTATCTCTGTTCTCCCATACACCTTGGTTTCCAAAACTATAAAATGCAATTAGGTGATAAGAATCTCAGACTACCCTGTAGAATCTTGGAACTAGACTCCTACCCTGGCATCCTGGAGGAAGTCGACAGGATGTTCTTTTAAAGCAAATAAGTGCCCCAAATGCTTTTTGTCTGGGATCTCAGGTTTACTACATCTCCTCTTCTCAAACTACAGCTCTGGACCTTAACCAGCCTCAGCACTGCACGAGGAGAACAGGCACAGCTTCAATCCCACAGTCAGGCCATGAGGCTTGACTGATCCAAGAGAGGCAGATGTCTCTTACATGATGCACCTCAAGGGGCTGCCTCAGGTGTAAACAAATAAAAATGCATTTATTTATGCTTTTATGGATTTATAAAAATCCATTTATTGTTATCACTTCTAAGACAATACTTTGACTACCTAGTGCCAGCAGAGAATCCAGTCATTTTTGCAGATCACAGAGATCATGTTTTCTGCTCCAATATTCAGTCTAAATCAGGGAGTTTTTAAAGACTTTCTCACATTTTGTAAGTGCTTTGCAAGTTAAGATGACTAACCCTAAGACTAGAGTTAGGTGGAAAAAAGAGGACTGTTACTCAAAGACTGTGTGGATATATGTTAATGCTTATATTTTTGAAAAGGAGCAGTTGGAAGACAAGAAGTTTAACAAGAACAGAAATGAGAGTGTTATTTCATTTTCTGTAGTTAGTGGTGATCTAGGGAAATGAGCTGGATAGGAAGAGAGTTGAAAAGTACAAAATGAGGGGAAAGGTAACACAGAAAGAGAAGTAGAAGCTGACATAATAAGAATCAAGGGGTTAGTTGATGGGCTGCACATGTGTGAGAAAATGTTGGGAGACAGCAACTGCCAGATGTTGCCATGGGTGGACACCCAGGTTAAGGACTGGCTGGAGTTTTAGTGCATCAAAGAAATGGTTATGGACACATACAGAAGACTTGTCAGTAAGGGGTACTTCCAGTGCTGTGGATTCTGTTTTTTTACAGTGAGGTTGCTCATTATTTCATGGGAAAATCTTACAAACTTTTTGTGTTCTTTGCAAACTTTTTGGAAACTTTTTGCCGCCATCATGTTCATTCTGTGTCATGGTGTATTCTTTTTAATGAAAAATTCTGTAACAGGTAAATAGATAGACACCAAAAAATGACCAAAACATCCTTGATTCTTAAAAAGAGCATGCCCACAAGTGGAAAAAGTGGCTTGAATTGCTGCCTGCAGCACTAAGAAACAGGTCATTAAATACAGAGGAATTGCTTAATTGAATGACTTCCAGTTCCTTTCCTCTTAAGTCTTTTAGTTTCTTACTAGCTATAGCATGCATGTACAAAGGAAAATTCCCCAAAGCTTTGTTGACAGATTTTGCTAATTACTCAGAGATGCTAAAACATAGAGCTCCAAGGGAACTATTTGCTCACAATTTCCTAGATAAAAATAAAAGAGAGACTGTGTCCACATTTGGACTGGAAAATATCTTCCATTTGTTTCCCTATTGCTCTGCACAGAGTTGCATGAAGTGGGACTGGAATCATTGTACTTTACACTGAGGAAAAGTAAGTAGTTATCAAACTATGCATGTACTTACATGCATATATACTTGCACAGTGGACCCGTGCAAATACTGCCTCTATGAGAAAGGAAGACATCTTCAATATCCTGTTCAAAAGAAATTTAAGATAACTCCTTAGATAGTTCATTCAATGAGCAGTTGCTCTGATAACTGAGATTTTATTATTATTCTTACCTTTTTTTTTCTATAAAAATGTAAGTTTTATAGCTGTAATTGTTATTTCCCACTGCTGAAAGAGCACCAGAAGAAGGAGGGATTCAGGAAGGAAGTAATTTGGACTGGGAGGATTTGCAGCTGACAGAATTCTTATTGTATATCCCACCTAAGCATTTTCCTTTACTTCCTTTATGTTATTTTTCAGTGCTCTTGTTTGACTGATCATTGTCACCTAAAAGTCTAGGAAAAATCCTTGTCTAATAAATCATACAAATGTTAAAAATATTCTCAGTTAAATGCAAAATAAAATAGTCAGAGGATTTCTGTTTAATTTGACGTGCGTTTGATACTTTCATCTCAATAGCAGAATTCCTCAAAATAACTGTAAAATCTGTTAAACTAGATGTTCTCATATACCTTATAATAATTTTAATTGAATGTCTACGTTTACACTTTGCACTTTGTAATTTTGTGGATAAGAAAAACACTGCACAGGGAGTGTAATAGACAACACTGGTTTTTGAAACCTCATGCCTGCTTCTTTTTTTCTATGTACAGTTTCTGGTTTGCAAATTTTTGCGGTAGCTTAAGGGTCTCTGTGTCGTGGCTTTTGTAAAGACACAGGAAAGTTCCTATTCTCCAACAACAGTTAAGAGTTAAAATTCTTATTGGAAACAAGGCCATTTGAGAAATATAACAAGTTAGGCTAAGTACCTCATCTAAAATAGCTTTTTAATGAATATGTTTAATTTCCTTTATTATTTGGTTTGGCTTGTAAATTGGTCCTCTGGCATAGTTGTTAATACAAACTGCTGGCCTTTTGAAGTCTGGGGAAGTACTTAGAGTTATCAGGATACTCCAGGACACCCTACATTTTGTGAAGAGTTGTACTTTAGCTGGATGGTATTAAGTTGTTCTTCTCTGGGATTACTTGCTGATTTGAGAAGCTGTATTCTCTAGAAAAGTTTCCATCAGACATTTCATTCACTGCATATGACAGAAGAGCTGGAAGCAAGAACAGTTTGTTTCTTCCTAAAGTATTTTAAAATGTCATCATTTGCAACAAAACACCCAGTCTTCTGTTCTCTTCTTCAAGGGCCAGTCTGCAGTGGTGCTTTCTCTGTTTAGACTCAAAGGAAAGTAAATTAACATTGGTGGATAGAAGTCCATCGTTTAAGTCAGATGTTATATTCTGACAAAAAGCTCATTAGCAATTCTTTTTTAACAGTTTTCTGTCAGCAAAATTCCAGCTTCGGCAGAACAAGCATTGAAATTTTATGGCTTTTCTTTAAGCTAAAGATTCTGGAAACCAGCAAAACTGAATGAGAGTTGACCCTTGCAAAGAAAGGGTAATGCTTACCATTTTAGCACCAAGAGCTACTTTCAGTACTAGCAGAATACAGATGTCCGTGTCAGAACTCAACTACCATGCTAAACCAAATTCTTGGGATCTGATTTTCCCACTTCTCAACAACTCAGTAAGGTTGAATGGGACCCCTCCAAGGAACTTGCAGTTTTTATGATTCAAATAGAAACATTAACAGAAGACTGCTTGATCCTTTATTGAGGTCAGACAGAGAAGGAAAGGAAAAATAAAATAACAGACAGGAATATGTCAAATGTCACTGTTTTCTTCATTTATGTTTGATTCACATGTTGCAAGTTGCAATAGTGTTTCAGGGAATGCCTTAGCTGCCACTTGGTTTGCAAAGCAAATGGGAAGCCTGGAGCACTATTTCAGGCTGTAGTCCTGAATTCAGTTTCTTGATATACCAATTTCCATTGTGACTTTCTGGAAGTCACAACGCCTCAGCTTCCCACCTGTAAAATGAGACAGACTACTTTGCAAGGTTTTTCAAAGGAATAATAACAGAGGTTATAAGGAATTTACAGTCAGAGCAGTTAAATAAATACCTAAAAATGTATTGCAGGGAAGGAAGATGCATAGCGTTAAACATTTACAGGCTTTAAATGGAAATGAGAAAATACGTTTATTTACGTATCATTACTCTAGTTTTGTGGATAATGTATTCAGATACCTCATAAGTGAGAAAGATGTAAATACCCAGCAGACTGCATTCCTCTCTCCAAATAGAGAACGAGTCACTCCCTTGTCTGGAAAGGACCATCCATCAGAGGAAGTATGAAACTAAATGCACACCCTCACTAGTCTGTAAAGACTGGGTAGTACTTTATGGAAGCATTGTACTGTTCACCTCATGTAATTCTAATGAATGTGCCCAAATAAAATGCCTTTAAGGGCTCTAGGTTTCTATAGAGGCCTTAATTTTTCTCTAAAGGTAATGCAGCCAATCACTGGTAATAGTTACTGTTTTAACCTGTTTTATTTATTACAGAGTGTCTCACCCCCCAACAATTATTTTGCCACTTCACAACTGGGAACCCAAAGATGAACCTACAAAAGAAGAAGAACTTGGTCCTTTAGTAGAACACATCTACGAGGTAAAAGTTATATATGTTGCCACAGGACCTCATGCTGCTGTCATTGAAATTCTGATGAATTTGGTTTATTCTCTTTATCTGCAACTAGATAAAGCCACAAATGTAAATATTCTGGCTTTAGCACATGACCCAGATTTAGTCTGGGAAGTCACAGCCCCAGGATCTGTTCAAGTTGGTGGAAGAGATATTAGTTTATGCTAGCAGTCTGTCTTTGACATTTAAGGGATCTAAAAACATTTTGGGTGTTTGACAAGAATTCAACACAGTGCTTAAAAGCTCATTACAATCAATGCTAAATATTTTCAGTGATTTGACTGGTTTCTCAAAAGCTGTGAGTGTTGTGCACAGGAAAAATTATGTTTCCTTTAACATTTAGCTAACTGAAACAAACTGTAGACATACATGTAACTTGTTACCTCATTGCTCACAAATAGTTCTGTAGAAAATAACTCTTAATGTTTGAAACATACATATTTCTACCTTGTATTGTTGTTGGGTTTTTTTCTATTGATGATTCCTCAATTAAAAGAGAAGAGTTCAGGTTAGAAAAAAGTGCATTGAGTGAACTACATGGAATACAGGCCATCTTTGGAACCTGATGGATGACCTTTATTCTAGGGAGTAAAACAGAGTGCTTCACGTATGGTTATAATTCACAAACTACCACTCAAGAAAATCAGACTGTAAAATACAAAATATTATTTGTGAATTTATCATCTTAACACGTTTCTCTAAACTGAAAAATATCTAACAAATGTTCCTGTTTCAAGTATTTGGGCTGTTTGTGGAACTATATATGTGACTTCAAATGCATTAAAATAGTTACAGTGATTAAAGAAACCACTTTCATGGTTTATTGCTATCAGCAAAGCATAAAAAAGCCCAAACACCCACCCAAAAACCCTCCACTGAAGAAGATGTAAGATTTAAAGGCGTTTTTATTTGGTTCTAAATAAAGCTCATCAGTCACCAAAAATTCTACACATTTTAAAAAAGGAAGTTCTCACATGTCTAGAAACTTTGAATAAAAAGTTCCATAGTGTTCTGCTTCTTTAGCTCTCATGCTCAGTGTTAACATATATCCAAACTTCCTGTGGTCATCAAAAATTTTCAAATTGTAAACTGATATAAGAAAACTATTTGAATAGCTCAGAATTTTTAATTTCCATCATTTCTATCTTTACTCACTTTCACAAAAAAAAAGAATAATGTCCTAGGATGTTACTCTAGGAAAACTAGTTCCTTTTTTTCTTTTGGGGAAATTTTAACTGAGAAGTGTTGAAAAACTAGTTTAAGCTCTGCTGTACCTTCTATTCCTACACCCTGAAATGTGATTCTTTTGTGTCCTGAAGTTTCAGCTACTATTTTCAAGTATGTTCTGTTAACGTTCATTGTATATATTTGTATAGTGTATTTTGCTAGTGTGTTTTAGTTTGGGTTATTTATACTTTTTTAGGTAATTTCAGCTCTTTCATATGTAGGAAAAAAATGGGAAAGGTGATGGATTTCTTGAATACAGACTCAGACAAAAAAGGTTGTTCTCCCAGATTTGCCACTGGCTTTGTGACTAACATGGAGGCATCCTTTTCCCCTACCTGCCACAGAATCTCCATCAATCAAATGATATTAATAATCTGTACATATTTCCCAAAGTAATTCAAGGCTGTGGACACTAAGAATTTGAAAATGTCTAAGTGGTGGTTGCTGTGGTTTTTGTTGTTTTTTACTGCAAAGTACTGATGATATTTGTTTGACAGCTGCACAATATAGGACCAAGTGCCATCAACAATACAGTTCTCCATGTTGGTTGGCCTGTGTCCAGTCGAGAAGAATTTCTTCTTTACATTCTTCATATTCAGACACACGGACCATTGCACTGTCAAACAAGCTCTCCTATTAATGCAATGCAAATAAAGGTAAGTCAGCCCCTTTTATTTCCATCCCTGTCTGCATTTTGCTTGATTTTTTCTGCCTACACTTCACAATGGGATGGAGCTTTTGGGAAATTTTTCACAATGACTCTGTGCTCATTTTCCTGGGTAAAAAGCTACAGATAGTCTATAATGTTTCCAGTGTGACAGTTGTGTTGCATGGTATGTGGTTTCTGTACTCTTCAGAAGTATTTTTAAAGGGTGTAACACAATTTTAGTTTTTTATTCCCATACAAATAATTTACAGCTAATTTGTATGGTCATTTGGTTTTTTAAGATCATAGGCTAATTCAGGTTGGAAGAGACCTCAGGAGTACTCTGCTCCAACATCCCACTCAAGCAGGGTCAGCTGTGAGTTCAGACCAGGTTGTTTAGGGCTTTATGTAGGCCGGTCTTTAAAACGTCCAAGGACAAAGACTGCAAAATCTGGGCAAGTTTCGCTGCTTCTTTATTGTCCTTACAGGGAAAAGGTTTCTCCCTACATCCAGTCTGAACCTCTCTTGTTTCAGCTGATGCCCAGTGCCACCATGCACCTCTGTGAAGAGCCTGCCTCCATTTTTGTGATAACCTTCTCCCTCCAACAGCTTTGGTATCCCCAAAGCTTTCTTATCTCTGGGCTGAACAAGCACTGCTCCCTCAGCCTCTCCCTGCAGACAAGTGCTCCAGCCCTGAGCATCCCTGGGGACCCTCCTCTGAACTCATTCCAGTATATTGATCTCCATGTTCTGCTGAGGCTCCTAAAATGGATGTTGTTTCTACATGTGGTCTAATGAGTGCTGAGCAGAGGGGAGTAATCACTTTCTCAATGTATTGCCTTTGCTTCTGTTCATACAGCCCAGGATGCTGTTGGCCCTTGCTGCTGGCAGGGCGCACTGCTGACTCATGTGCAGCTTAAGCCAGGTCTTTTTCTGCAGTGCTGCTTCTTAGCCAGTCAGTCCTCAGCATGTCTGTTGCCAGGGGCTATTTCCTTGCACCAAGTGTATGATAAGATACATATTTTTAATATCATATGCGATATTTTATATTATGGTCAAGTTCAACATAGTATGAGACAGTATAATCTGTAAAATGGGAGTCATATTAGAAGCCTATATATTTTTTCCTGTCTTAGAGTGTTCATGATTTTAATTTTTCTAAGGACATACTTTGAATATCCTGTAAAGGGAAACTATCAACTGGAATCCTCATGGAATGTACTCCAGAAATGGAAGTTTTCATGTATTGCCACTTGATAAAATGATTCCTATAGTCTACGATTATTTTATAGCTTAATCAATATTAACTCTTAGAAGTTACAACTTTGTCAGCAACATGATGATCTTAAAGGTCCCTTCCAACCTGGACGATTCTATGATTCTATGACAGGTTGGAAATGATTCTGTAATTATTTCAATTGTACCAGCAAAAGGAAAAAATTTCCCTGCATGTTTTTTCATAAGTGTTACTCCTTGGTATTATTTGCTATCCAAATTGCTTTCCCTTCCATGGACGTGGTTCTCCTTTTACAGCAGAGCTGAAGATCTCAGAGTTTGGAGGAAACACTAACAAGGGGAAGCCTAGTAGCGGCGTCCTCAGTAAAGTGTTGATATGCCAGTGTCTACAAGCCTCTTTTAAGATCTATGTTTGTGATGGCAGATCCCTCCAAAAGAGCTTGGTTTGGCTCAAAGTCAGAAGATTTAGCAAAACACAGCTCTTCATATTATCCCATCAAAAACAAGGTATCCAATTTATTAAGCATAACTGATTCCAGACACTTCTGGAGTAAACAACACTTCTCGAGTTTAACCAGTAGCCTGTTAAACATCTTGTGGGAAAAGCTGTGTTCCAAATGCTAAAACTGCTATACGTCTTTCACATACCAGGAGGGGTTTCAGTTCGGTACAGTGGATGAAAGTGGAGACATCTTTCTAGTGAAGGGGATTTCTCGTGACCACAGGAGCTACAAGACAAATCTTTAGCTTAAAGAGACAGAACTACAATATGTACTTACAAGGATATAGAAAAACTGATGTATAGGCTAGATTTTTTGTGTTTCACTCAGGAAGCCAGAGAGGGATTAGGATTCTGCACTTTTATTAATTTCTCTAAAGGAAGAAAAAGGAAATGAGTGACGGAACTGAAGATAGAAAATGTTTCCATTTTGTACCCACAACACAGCAAGTTTGGAAACAGACAATTTTTCTATTAATCTTCTCCACCCCATTTCCTCCTATTTTTCAAAAGTGGTGAGGAGCAAGAAGCTGAGCTGCTACATTTATATTTGCAAGCCCAGCATCTCTAAGCCACTGGTCAGATCAGGTTGCAAGTACTTGAAAAGGAGTTCAACATCCCTCCTCACTAGCCACCGTGTTCTGTTTTAACTTTCAGTTAAGAAGCTGAGATGGGAGCATGACTGTCAGGAGGGCAGAGCTCCTGGGTAGAACAGTGCCACAGTTCTTAATGACATTTTCAGGCAATGTATTTTTTGATGATTTATTTTTAATCTTTTGAGTTTGCTCTTCCTTCTCCTACTTGATAATGATCACATCTGTTACATAAACAAGACTAAATTCTTGTGAGTCTCATGTGAAATCTTCCTCTAATAATGAAATAATGGTCAATCTGTCTTAGCAGAATAGGGCTTTAGATGCACAATCATTATTGCAAGAATTTAAACATCCTTTCCTTATTTCAGCTTTTCAAAGCACTGAACAGCAGTCATACGCAAATCAGGTTTCAAACATGTAATGCTTATCTATTGCTTCAAATGGGAAGAAGATACAGAGACAGCTTCCTTCAGGTTTTGTATAAACAGCAGGATGCCTGGCTCAAATTTCCAAATAAGGCTAAGGACATTATATGCCTGGTTCCTCTTGAATTTCAGAACCTAGCTCTCGTAGGGTGCTTGGGCATTTCCCCTTTGAAATGACTTAGATTGTTCAGTTTCAGTTAAAGCAGTATATTCCTCCCCATTGCTGAATTTCTTGTCTTGTAGAAAGGTTTCCTTTGTGCTTCGTTGTTTCTCCCACAATGATAAATCAAACCTGTGCACACATGGGAAGACTCTTATTTAGGGACTTTTCTGCAGCTTAACTTTCTCTGAAGGCAGTGAGGGATGTGAAAGGATAATAGAATTATGAATCTTACGAAAGGTGTAAAGAGGAGCAAAAGATCCAAAATATGGAATGGATTCCTTTGCAGAAGAACTAGGATACTTCAATCTAGAAAGGAGGTGACCGAGCACAAGTATGATCTGCAAGATCAGAAGTGGTGGGAAGAGCTTGGGTGGGGATTGACTGCTCTCTGCCTGTTCCTGCACAGAAATGCAGTGTGTTCGCTGCACAGGAATTGGAGCATCAAATGAAGCCTGTAGAGCCAGATTCAAAACAAGCAAAAGGAAGTGGTTGTTCATGGTGACAGGTATTAGATATCTGGAACTTTTTGCCAAAAGAAGTAGTCAGGGCTAAAAGTTTACATGGTTTTAAGAGGAAACTAGACAAATTCACGAAAGAGAAGTCCAGTGAAGATTAATAAAGGAACAAAAACTTCATGCAGATCAGAAGTTTCCTGAGCTGAAAACATTTGGAAGCTGAAAGTTATTAGGAGAGAGCATTATGTTTGCATGTCCTGTTCTTAATCTTCCTTCCACACCTTCTTAAAGGCAGTGTTGATGAGAAGAGGGCTCAGCTAGATGGTGTTTTGGCCTGAGCCATTATTCCTGACAAGTTGGATTTTTTTCCCCAGACTGATAGCTAAAAACCACCACATGGGTAAGGTACCTCCACTAACATGACTGGCGGGAGCTGACCTCTTCCAGAGGCAGTGTCTCCTCATGCTGCAGTGCCGTTATTACTGTGTGTAGGTCTAGAGACAAAATAATACCATCCAATGCGTTGCTCTTGAATGGTCACTGACACCTCTCGCACAACAGTTTTTACACAAAGTCCTCTTCTAGAACATTTCTGATGGAGTTACACATTGCAGAAGAGGGCATTGCCTGGTTAGAAAAAAGGAAAGCTAAACCGGGTTTTAAAATGAGAAGTGAAGAACTGGAGAGATCTGGAGATCTGCTCAAGGTGACAAAGCTCAGGAGAAAAAAACAGTACAGGTTTCCCTGATGGGGAAACTGAGACAGTCCATTGTAGTTAAAGGGAGGGAGGAAAATTTAAATTTCCCATTTAAAATAAGGTGTGGTGTGCTAAATATGTGTCATACAATATAGCTACAGAGAGAGATGTACGATTCCAAGGTACTGGCTCAAGAAGGATAAAATAATATCTTTAACCTGAACATGTAGGCCACCGGAGAAATTCTGCTTTTAAATTGTTGCAGGAGACATGTATGTTTTGTCTTAAGCAGACAGAGCTGTTTTCAAACCTTTGCTCTAATAATTCACTACCGAAGATGCTAACGCTTATGAAAAAAAAAGTTAATATAAAAATCATTTCATATTCAAATGGATCTACATATGTACCAATTCTGATCATATATTGAGGCCTTCTTCAAAGGCGTGTCATTATATTGTGGTTCTTTTAATTTGTCTTCATTAAAGAAGCCTATATGTGCTGGTGAGAGAATCCTGGAAAGAGAATTCCCAGATGTTATCACACTGAGAGGGAGAGATTTATTAGCTATTTAACTGTTCCCTTATTGCAAAAAGACAATGTTAACCTAATTAAGCAACAGGAAAAAAAGATTTTTATTTTTGTTTAGTGGTTTTAATCAATTAATAAATTATAGTATCTTTCACTTTTTAGGATGCTTTTGACTAAAGATCTCAGACAATGTCAAAAGAGTTCCTTCTTTAACCTCATAATTTTAATCAGATGAATGGTACCTATTTTCCAAATCTAGTACTACACAGCATTAGTGTGAGGAAGTTTTTGTGTGTTTATAGCTATTCTCTTCCCTTTAGTGCTACAACATTTCTTACACTTACAAACATTTTCTTTAGGAATTCGTTTAAGATATTTTGTGTTCAGAGATTAAAGTAACTGATAAGATGGATCTGATGTAGCTCTTTATAATCTGAGGCCCTTAGAGAATAGTCTTGTCTATGTTTAGGTGAGTTCCCGTTGAGATCTTATTGCAAACTTTCACATATGTTTTATTGTGATTTTATATTATTGGATTGTCATGAATTAGAATTTATCTTTTCCTCAATTGAGTTCCCAGGCATTCTCTGAGGCTTCTTGAAAGAAACCATAAATGCTCTGTGCAAAAAAAACCACAAACTGCCAACAATAAAAATAGGTTTTAATCAGAGAATAAAAATCTGTGAAGATAAAGCTGAAGAGAAGGTATTTTAATATAAGATTAAAAATGGACAAACTGTTGCATTATACAAAGTTGAATTGTTACGAAAAAAAATCTGTAACAAATAACGATCAATAGTGGTGTTGCTAGAATTTAGATTTGCTTTTTCTTTTTTTTTTCTTTTACTTTCTAAAGCTGGTAAAATCATTATATTTTAATAGGCAGATTCTGATCTGAACTAGTGATGAGATTTCCATGCAGTAACTTCAAATTTATCCTGTTACAGAGATCAGAATCTGGCCCCAAGAGTCTAACAAAATTAAGTACAGCAATGAAATTGACACCAGTAAAAAGTGGAAAAAAATGTTATCTACTGTAATTCCTATAACTGGGCAATATCTTACTGTGCTATTACTCATCATGCTTCTAGTTGAAGACAGTATATTCTCATGGCTGTGCTGTTAAATTGAAAAAACAGTGTTAATTCAAAATTCAAGACCTCTGAGAAGGGAAAAAATCTGTTAGAACCATTGTCCAAGTATGTCATTACCATTCACATTTTTCTCTTTGCAGTTTGCTGTTCCACAAGACACTCCCGAACTTGCTGCTTTTTTATACAATTCCACAATTTCTCATTACATCAGGAGAAGGGAAGTCACAGTGGCAGAACCTTACAAGAAAAACTCTGCAAAAATATTGGTGAGCTATCTAAAAACTATAAACTGGGACTATGCATGCAGTATATCAAGGTGGCTGTTGCTTAGACTGCAATTTGTGTACAGACTTTCAAATATTTTTCTAAGTGATTTTTAACCTCTCAGTTTAAAATATGGTTTATTACATATCACCATGCCCCAGGTTAGTGATTTTGTTCAACAAATTTTTACATTAAAGATCATGCATGCCAAATTCCTGGCTTTCTTACTCCTGGCTATTTGCAGACAAACCTCTGTGGTCATGCAATGGCACACTTATCACAGAGAATTTCATCACAGATTTAGAGAATGGGCCCCTCTTCCATGCATTAAATTTCAGATTCTGACTTCTGAAAGGTAGGTCTCTTCTTGTTATCTTGTGTCCTAGCATTCTGGCTCTTTCGTAAAGAGTAGCTCACACTTAAAATTAACATTTTCATGTAAAGTAACAGTTCATAAAGAGTAGCTCACACTTAACATTTTCATGTAAAGTAACAGTTCTGATGTACTAATAATTGGGTGGATTTTTGTTCCCCCCAGTAAGTATTTACATACACATGGAAAGGTAAGACTCTCTCCCTTTACAGTACTGCAAGCAAGGCAAATGGGACAGGTCACTGCATTTTTAACTTTCCAGACAATGCTGGAGCAAGGGCAAAAAACTCTCTCCCAGAAGAATAGTTCTGATTAGTCAGTCCAGTACCTGAGTATTTGGACTTGACTGTATTTTTGGAAAGTTGGGTTTTTTTCCATTTCCATTCCATTTCCATTTTTCCATTCAGTGTCCCATCTTCAGCACACTTCAGCATTGTAGGTATCAGCTCCCCTCGCCTGGAGGCTGTGTTCAAACCTGGTGACCTTGAGGTCAGTTGTGGGATTCATGCAGTCAGTGTTTTCCATCTATTTTTATGAACCTTAGGCAGAGTTTCTTTCATGCTGCCCAGTCTCTTATTAAGCTGTTTACTGCAAGCTCATGTTTGAATTCCTTGACATCACTAGAATTTGGGAGGAAGAAAAGAACCTCACAGACCTAGGTATTCTGGAGCAATAGAATAATTATGCTGCTTCTGAAAGTTAATTTGGCAATTTTTGTAACAGGAAGAAGATAGAATCTGAAAGTAATGAATACCATAATGTTATTAAGAACAAAATCACAGATGAACCCATTTTAAACAATAATCACTGTCGATTCCTATGTAATTCTTTCATCAACCTAATGCCCTGGGAAGAATCTGATTCCACTGGGGCTGAAGGAAAAATGCCTGTGCTTTCGAAGACATACCAGTCAATACCACAGAACACCTAATCCATTTTTTAGTAATACCTTAATTGTCAGTTATCTTTCTCAGTGATTAGGCTCATATGCTGCCAACATAGAGATTACTGCAGCAACAGAAAATTGTTAACAGAGTTCTTAAGTATGTACTGTGTCTGCATCTTAAAATACGAAGCAGAGATTTTTCAGCTGCTTGATGCAGACAGATAGTATTTAGCTGAGTACTTAGTAATAGAAAATTGGCACTGTGACGAGCAGTCTTCTAGTATAATATGCTTTTGATAAGCACAAATTAGGATAGGATTGGGTACAGTGCTTACCACTGGATATATAGCAGGTCTTTTCCAGGATGGGCCTAGAAAAGCAATATTTGTTCAGTTTGAAAGGTGTCCCAATTCTACGTGCCTTCCACATTGCATACTACAGATCCAGAAAAATTAAAAAATTTTTGACACATTGGAAGTATACACGGAAAGTGAATGTTGCTCTGGAAAATGACTGATTGGCCAATGGTAATTCTTTGTTAAAAATTCTAATTTTTTTTTTGAGAAAATTTAAGTTATTTTCATTTTCATCAAAGCATTTTCACAGTGAGGAAAAATGTTTTGAAAACCTCTTATTCTGATTATACTGTTTATTAAACATTTGCTTTCTCTTCCATGAGTTCTAATGTTACAGTGGTCTGAAAATCACTACAGGATAAATGCATTGCTAAGAAAAATAGAAATATGTGTTGAGGTTCTAAAATGTCAGCCAAAAGTAGACTTCTTTGCATACTAATGATTTATTTTGTTAATATGTGTTTTTGGCCACTATGATTAATGAAAACAGCTCTTCTCCTTCCTGCAATATAAATAAATATGGTTGGAGGATGTTTAAATATGAAAAGCCAAATAAACAGATACTTTGAAATATTCATTTCAAAAAAAAGGTTTATAGTTGGAAGTTCAGGGTTTACAGTTTCATTTTCAGGCAGATTTAGAAAACGGGGATTAAGCATACAGCTTCTACTTAACTTGTGATAAGATAGAGATTTGTGGGGAAAGCTGTCTATAAAGATACAAGATTCCTTAAGGGTGTTTTCATATCTGTTACATACATCATCATCTCATTTTCCGAAGTGTGGGCTTTGGTATTGCGGCCATTCTCACTCTCCCGAGAGAATATACTTGTGAGAATTTAGCTTTGCTTTTGAGGTCACAAGACCTTCTGTCATGAGTGTCAATAAAGCATCTGTAAGGGAAGGATTGTCTGCTTTGTTATAAAAATATGAATCAATTAAAATCTCAGCCTTCCTCTTGAATCAAACCAAAACTTTTCAGGTAAAACCCATTTGTATGTATAAACCTATACATATTTTTATACACACTTCTAATCATTTTTCTATGAGATCTTTCTGTCTTTCTACGCCCCAAACAACTGCATAATTTCTGTGGTTACCCCATGAGATTCTGCTCATTCCCTTCAGTGGCTCTAGTCAGCTTTTAACCTTTTGGTGACATTCCTCTGGCAGACTTTAACACAGTATATAGTTTTGAGTTGCATTGCTTGGCTTTTGTCCTCAACCCTGTGTATGAGCCAGAATCACTGCTCATCAGGAACATTTCATGAACAACAAGTTTCAAGTAGAGCAACTTACGAATCTCAGCAAATGTTCTGGCTGCTATAATGTAAACATCAGTAAGAAAACCAGGAGAGTTAGAATAGGGGAAAGATTTAGGAACATAAATAAAGACTTCAGGCATAGAGAACAGGAAAAAAAAAGTGTTGAAATCACAAAATGACTGGTAGGTGAAGACAAAGCACATGCTTCAAATGTTTGATACATACCTGGACATTTTAAGAGTTCCTCAGAATAAATATTGTTGAAAATTATTACTTTCATTTTGATTACTACAGGTAAGTGGTTGTATTCATTGGTGGTGCAAAAAGAATCTCCGCCTTGGTTTATAGTTCTCACAATGACTGATGGGGTATCTCTTGTATATTAGATGAAATTACTGATTTCAGACTACTTAGGTTTTTAAGGGAAAGATTATTTGTTTTGCTAATTTATAGCATTTCAAAATTATTATATACATTTTTAAAGCATAGGTATGACTTCCCTTTATTTTGTACACAGAACTGTACAAATGTGAAGTGTATCCTAATTTCCTGCACTGTGGGACAACTGGAAAGAGGAAAGAGTGCAGCGCTAAAAATCAGGTCCCGGCTATGGGCCCAAACATTCCTGGAGGTAATGCACACAAAAATCTCTTTCTATACACAAAGACCCCTGCATCTTTTATTTGACCAGATATTTAAGAATACAAATGAGGAAATTAAATGGGCCAAATGCAAATTCTTTTTGTTATCACTTTCTTTGAAGATAACATCTCAATTGTTCCTGTTCAGGTCACATACATGCTGCTTACTTTCTTTTTCTCACTTTACTCCCTCTCAAATTCATGTCCTGAATCTTACCTGAAAATTCCAAGATTATTTTTAAACTCCTTTCCTGGTTTTGCTTCTGCTTCCCTGGACTGACCCAAATCAATAATCTTGTAGGCCTCCATGATGTGCTCTGCATTCACCATGTCTTTCCCAATGAAAGTATTTCTTGGAGCCAAACAGTATATGGTGTACACTGTGTCCAGCTTAAAAAATGTTATTCATTGTCCTTAAATATAGGGACGGGTAATATGTATCGAGCTTGTATAACATACAACACTCATGTAGTGACAATCTGTGTTTTAACCACTAAAAAGAAGGGACAGTGCAGACCATGGGGAAAATGAACATCTCTCTGCAAATTCTTGCATTTCCAACTTCATTTGCTCTCAGAAATGTATTTACACTGCATAAGGCAGAGGGATTGCACTGTAAGCTGTTACCTGGCCACATGTCTGTAGTACTATGTGGCTGTCGTATCTTTAACACTGGGCAGTACGTTGAGAAATTTATAATTCAGTTTGCTGTTACCAGGAAAGAACTGTAGATCCTATCTTGATCAAACTGGTAGATTATCACCTTACATCTTCAAAGAATTTAGAATTCCCCAGTTTTCCTACCTGGAACACAAGAACCTTCCTGTGTTCCCTGTAGCTGTAGGAGAAGAATGATTTATCCCCACAGTACCTCTTACCCTAGTGAGAAGAGAATTGAGGATCTTCAGCTTACAACAGGAGCTTGAAATTAAGCTCCTCACACCTTTTAAGTTAATTTCTCCCTTTCCTCAGATGTGAAAGTAGTTAAAAGAAATTCTTCCTTGCTTAACTTGCTTCCCTGGAGAAACAAGAGAGCAGATGGGACAGTATTTACAGAAAGTTGAATGCAAGCTCAATAGCTAACCATCATGGCTCCAAATCTACAATGGGGTCATACTTTGGGGGTCACTCTTAGCATACTTTGGGGGTCTCTCTTAGCATACAGGAGTATGACTAAGGATGACTTGAAAGGTTTTTCTACCTATCTGTCAGGACTCAAGGTCACATTCTGTGTTTCTTTTACAACGGCTATTAGCACCATTATGACTGAAGAGAGCATAGAACTATCTGGCCTTGCTTGAGAGAAAGTGATTTCTGTCTAGCTCAGTAACAAAGGACATCCTTTCAGATGCTAGGTGAATTAATTCCGGATTTGTCAGTACGTTTTCTTTCTGTTAACAATCAATCCGAAGAAACTTCCATATCCTTTCTTCAGTTCACTTAACACAAATACAATGCTTTTAAGAGGAGACGTATTTAGCATGTGTATTTGAAAGGCTAGACTGGATGTACTTCATTTAGGTTTGCTCAGTGAGTCATCTGCTAGTGGAAAAACAGGGCAGGGGCTCTAGTTCAAATTTAAGACCGAAAGCTTGCCAGCTTGGATGTCTCTCTGTCCTTCCAAATCTGGGTAAATGGGATGGACATCTTCTAGTGTAAGCTTTTGCAAAGATCTTACAAAATTTTTCACACAAAGTGCCAGTATGTAAGCATCTCTGCACTCACAGAAAAAAAACGTATATATTGGAAAATATGATGGGAATTTTATTCCAATTTTTTGTAATTCCAGTAAGAGACTGCTTGATGTTCGCACACTGGCTAGTCCCTGTTAAGTTCAGTTAAGAACTTAACTGCAGTAGTTCACTGTTCCTAACACACAGAGGCAGGCAGAGATGTTTTTCTTGGCTGGAACAATCTGTGGTAATTTTGACCACTGCAGTGTGCAAGCAATATCACAGCGAATCTTCACCAAGCAAAAGATAAACCTTAGCTCCCTTAGCTAGCTACCTTACTGGGAACTGGACCTGACATATTCCAGATCCAATAAAGTCTTTCTGTTCATCATTCTGCTGGTGAAATATAATTAACTCTGTAAGGGCCAAAACCAAGGTCTTGTGAAAAAACAATTACATAAATGAAACCCCTCGCACAGATCCTTAGATGCCAGTTTTCTGGGTTATTTACAGCCATTTCAGTGGGAATTAGCTGTTTTTTTGAAAAACTGTAAAAGTTTTTCTAAGTCCAGTTTAGCATGTAACAAGAAATAACTGTAAGAGATTAAAGCTAAACAAATTTAATGAGAAACAGAGGTTGTTTCTCTGAGTTTTTGGTTGTGACAGAGGATGTGTAGCAGTTGGAACAAACTAGCTGCAGAAGATATGAAATCTTTTCTTAGTGACTCTTAATAAAGACAGATTCTTTTTTTAGAATATAAGCTTAGTTAGCCTGACTTAGGTTCAGAACAAGGATAAACTGCATGAAATTCGGTGGCATGTTTAATGCAGGAGCAGTGGGACTCATCTTACCTAATTTTAGTCATCTGAAAGCTAGATGCCAAAGCTAGTTGCCTAACTCTGTAGCCAGCGACAAAAGAGAGAGGTAACTTTGGATTATGCTTTATCCAACTGATTTGAAACTCCTTCTCTGCCCACCTTCTGATCTGGATGGTGGAGAAGGATCAAAGCTGTGCCTTGGGACACAGGTGTGTGCAAACACACCAGCAATGCCAGTGCTGCAGTCCCTTTAGCTCCTCCTTGCTCCTTAATAAATCCTGCTTGCTGTGTCTGCGTCTCCCTTCACTCAGTGAGCTCAAGGAAAAGGTGAATCTTACACCAGCCTGTGGGCAGGGGCAAGGATGAGCCATCCTGTAGACTCCTTGGGCGCAGAGACCTCATGGCAAACACTCCTACAAGTACATATTTTGCTTCCTCCACTGTCCTTACTTACCCTTGCTATCAAATAAGGCTTGTTATAGGCTGTGATTTTACCTTTTATCTGTATCCTTGGGAAACATTTCTGTTTCCTTTGAATAGTAACTTGCAAGGCTTGTAAAGGCTCAGAAAACTCCACTTCAAGCAATAGGGTTTTTTTCTAAGTAAAAAAGGTAGTCCCCAGAGAACTGTTGCATCTTCCCATTTATGTCTAAGAAGCTGCCAGAATAATATGACCTCTGCTTCATGTGCAAACTTAGATATTTAGAAGAGAGAACAAATAGTGTGATGGGATCTGGTCGCCTTCCTCCCACTCACCTCAAAACAGTTCCCTTTTTCACAGCCCCTTTTAAAATTAACAGTTATACGGCCGTCTCCTTAAAAGACTGTAGAGCATAATTAGTTTCCTAAAAAGGGTATAATGTGCTCTTAGTAAGCCTGTAAACTTCTAGTTCCTAAGGTTATTCCAGAAGTAAACTAAAATATACCTAAAACCCAACTGCTGTTAGCAAGGCTGAAATCTGCAGATTCAAAGTGAGGTTTAAAATACAGTAAAAATAATCAGGATGTGGTGATTCTGAACCAGGAAGGACTGTTCAAGGGCCAGACTGAATCCCACAGTCATGGTTTTGTAAAGAAACTTAGTGGAAAAGTTGCTGTTTCTACAGCAACATCCCAAACTCTTTTGCACATGCAATTAATGTACAGAATTTTCATATGCCAATGAAAGCAAGATAATGGTGACGTACAACATTCCTCAATGTGTTATAACACAAATGAAGATAAAAATCTGCAGAAAAAATTGTTTGTGCTCATTAAAGCTGAGAACACACTGTCATTATGTATTTTCTTCTTACAGATATGCTAATGCAAACCTGAGAAGAATTTGAAAGTGATTGATTAATGCTAGGACGAAATAGTTCATGTTTCTCCTGGAAGTTATAACGATCAGCCTGTATATTTTGTTGCCACAAAAGATCAGTCATGTATTGAGTGACTCCTTCCTCTTCCACTTAGTTTAACTGACAACAGCTGACCCCTTTGCCTCTTGACAGTTGTAATCTGTCACCTTAAAATCCAAACTCCCATAACAAATAACAGTTAAATGACATGCAATGATTAGACATGTTTGAGTAAATAAAGCAGCCCAAATTTCCCAACCAGCCAACAAAGATAGAGACAGACATTGTGCAAAGGCCAAGAAGAATCACAGTCTTTTTTGGATTAACTTCAAAGCTTGGCTGTAAATATGAACCCTCTAGTAAAGCTGACTTTTGGATTCAGACTTGCTGATCGAGCAAATAATAGCCTTATTCGTGCAAAAGAGAAACAACCTTATATGGTTATGTTACGTTGTGTTCTGTTAGGCCTCTATTATGTCCCCATTTGTCTAATCATGGTATTTCTGAGTCATCAGAGGGAGATCCAAGGGGATCTTGACCAGTGTTCTTTGAACTCTAATGGGTACTTTTTAATATAAGATGCAGGAGTTGGCTAGTAAAACATCTGTTTTGAAAATGTATTTCTAAATGATGAATCTGTACCATCTGTCTGATTTGCAACATCCTTCCAGGCTTCAAGCTCTTTGGACACTTACAGCATTGTGGGAAGTGGAACTCGGCTAATTCTTGCCTATTATTTCAGCCTGTATTGAAAGTTCCTCGCAATGATAAAAATCTCCTTCTGTTACAGCCTGGGAAGGCAGTAATGTAAAAAAAAAACCACAGAGGGTGTGCAAAGTTCCCAAGAGGTTTGAAGTTTATTTTATTTTCTTTTAATGTTATTGAATATAATTGTATTGTTTCTCTCTTGACTTTTAGACAGATCCAGGTATTTGAATTTGGCACTCCTGACTGCATGAACTTTAATAGCTAGAAGGGAGAAAAATCTAGTTTTAATCTAGGAAAGCTGAAAAGCAACAGAATCCTGGCAGCCACACTGCAATCAGGTGCTCCTTTAGTACACAAAGCCATGTTTTGGCTTCTCTGTTAAATACTTGTTCTTTCAGTGTTTCTGAGCATGCACTGCTCCTGTTTCTTTTTAGATGCCTAAAAATGGAA